AAGAGTTAGAAGGCTACTTACGTACCTGCCTTATTACGCTTTTACTTTTATTATGCCTTATTCTTTAGTACCTCTCCTTTATATATATTTAGATACTAATATATAAAAATATATAAGATCGGGGTCTATTATACCGAATAGCTTAGGAATAATAAAAGTAGCTAGTATAATAGTCCGCGAGTAGAGTAGAGTAGGTAATACGATATATAATTTAATAAAAAGAGTAGAAAAGGGTAAGATTACTGCCTAAGTACGAAAGGGTAAGATTACTACCTTAGAACTTAAGTAGGGAATCTAAAATATAAGTAATATACTAAATAGCTTAGGAATAACAAAAGTAGCTAGTATAATAGTCCGCGAGTAGAGTAGATAATAGAATATATAATTTAATAAAAAGAGTAGAAACTTTCCTATTTAGGAAGGAACTATAATATTACTATAATATTATACTAAGCTCCTATTACGAACTCGTAATAGCTAAAATCGAGATTATATAGAAGAAAGAAGAGCACTAATTCTCTATACCTTATCCCTTCCGACCCTAAGACTTACTTTAAGACCTACGAGACTACTTATTCTTTCCTAAACGTAGACCCTTTAACTAATTATCCGTAGCTATACTCGTAGTTATTCCGCGCTTAGGTCGCCGGTATATATTCTCTAGTCTGCTATTATACGCCTTTAGCCTCTCCTAATAGGCTCTCTTACTAGCTATCCTATCGCTATACTAGTAGGTACTCTTAGTTCCCTACTAGATATAGTTACTATAGGCTAAGTTTAAATATCTATGCTAGATTATATAGCGCTATTCTCGTTAGCGTCGAACACCTTTATACGGGCAGGAAATATACTAGAAATAGCCCTAGGCCTTTAATTATATTACTATTATAGTTCTTCCGCTTCTTATAATCTCCGTAACACTTCTCCTTAGTTAATATTATTCTACTACGATATTATTAGCTATTATACTTTAATAATTCTCTAATAGGATTATATAGACCGGCTCGTAACTAGAAAGGCGTTAACGTAGTTCGGACGGTCTCGGATATTATCGATCCTATTAGTAAAGCTATTATAGATCTCGACGTACTTAGTAGTAGGCTTAGCTATTATCTCTCTCTACTCGCGGTTAAGGGAGAATCCTATTTTCTTAAGCTATTATACGGGTTAGCGCTACTCTTAAAGTGTTAAATTCCTAGCTTATACTCTTATAAAGTTCTACTTAAAATATCCGTATTCGCTATTATTATCCGGATTCTTAGGGAAAGTTCTAGCCCTCTAGTATTTTATAGTATCGATATAATCTAGCTATAAGTATAGTAACTTAGGCTTCTTCGCCTTCTTAGGCTTTTATACGAGTAATATAGAGGAGGGAGGAGAATATAAGTAAGTAGTAAAGGGGTAGTATAGTAGTAGGAGTAGTAGGTATTAATATTAGTATTTAGGTGTTAATAAGAGTTGCTAAAAGAGTAGTAGGTCTTTATCCTACTACTCTTTTAGAGATCTTACTTACTTATATAAAGAGTTATATAGCTACCCGCGTAATGCTATTATACCTTTACTTTATCCTTACTATTATTACTTAGGTATCGTAGACTTAAATAAAATTACTTTAAAGAAGGAAAGCGAGGACATTGCACGCGCATATTAAATCACGCTACTTATTACTTATTATACGGAATATACCTTTAATTACCGAGGTTCTAATACCCTATAATGCTAGCGTCGCACTATMGCCTAAAAGGATTGTTACAGAGTTGTTCTTAAAAACGCGCCGTATCTTTATCGTTAGCAACAGCGAAGGTTCGACCACAGCCGAGGTCCAGTATGGCGATGCATTGTTCTGTAAGAACGTGCTATTTATAAGAAGTAACATCCATGCTCTTGATAAAGCTTGTCAGTGTGACGTTATAGCTCATCCAATGTTGAAAGACCTGCTCATCATATCGTCAAAAATGTGATGTGTACAAATCGTATCTACATCTGTACAAAGAATCTAAACCGTCATACATCATCTTCCAAACAAAGATCCAACCAGAAGCACATCAGAAGGGAAGCCCTCCATATCATCAAGCCCAATCATACATCATTCTGAATCGCCGTCCTCAAAAGACTTTCAAGCGTAAAAGTTTCTGGCGTGGTTTCTGCTGGTGGTCCAACCCTGGTTGAGCAAGTACGCGACCCACTCCTGCAGATCAGCCAGGCCGAAGCCTTCGGGAAGATCCTTCTCTGGCTTAGAGCTGTATTCGGAAGGAGATTCGGTTGCGACAGGAGCATAGGCTGCAGATGTAGTTGTCTCGTAAGTCGGTGGAGTGTAAGGCTCGGTAGTGGGAGTTGGAGCGCTGGTCGTCTGCACTGGGTCAATGATGGTGGTCGGAGCGACTTCGATGGAGCTGGACGTCAGAGTTGCGGTGGCAGAGTATGTGCTGTTGGCATAAGGTGCGGTGGCGGTAGTCGTGGCAGCTGGCGAGCCAGATGATGAATCATCAGACGGCGAAGAACCGGCGCCGCTGTAGAGGGCGGGTCCCGGGAAGGTATAGTCGAGAGGTGCGTTGTAGATGTTGATCAGGATGCCCGCGTCCTCTGCCGTGTAGAAAGATGTAGCTGGCTCACCCGCAGGCACGTCAGTGCCGTCGGATGTCACCTCAATGTTCAGGCATTGAGGGTAGTTCTGGGCACCATTCGCATTGTTGGCCGAGTGGAGTGAGATGATTTCATGACGCAGGACATATTTGCCTGGAGCAATGGAAGCTGGAATAGTCACGGACCCTGTATAGATGCCATGTTAGATGTTTTCATCATCTTGGGAAAAGGGGAACATACAAGTGTTGTTGTTGGCGATGAGATCATCAGAAGCCCAGCTGCCAGGTGTAGTGCTACCATCTTTCAATCCGTCCTCGTCGATCTTGAAGAATTGGAGGGCAGTCTTGTCAATGTCGGCAAAGTCTCCATCGACAGGGGCAAGGTAGTCCAGAACAGGACCGTGATGGGAATCTGGCCAGGTGTTCCATTGAATGTCGATGCTCTCACCGGCAGTGACTGGGATGCTGGCCAGACCAGGTGTAGCGCCCTTGTGACAGACAATATCGCCATCGGCAAACACAGTGGGGTCAACGTAGCCGTTGTCCTGGTTGTTTGCGTACCATCCGGCGGTGTTGGGCTTCTCGGCTTGATAAGTCCACTCAGGGGTTGTGCCAGCATACCATTGACCATTGGACACAACTCCACTGACGTGGCCGTGAGCTGAAACGGAGACAGTAAGGGCGCCAAGAACGCCAGCAATCTGGAAGAGCGACATGATTTGAATAGAGAGGTAGTGCAAAAGCTTTTGTTGCGGAGGCTATGCTGTGTGCAAGGTGACGAAAACGAATGTACAGTATCACCAGGATACCTGTAAAGAGTGGAATATGGTGCTAGACCAAGAGATGATGCTGCACAGCAAGCAGGACGAAGGAAGAAGGTGGATTGGGGAGGTGAAGAGCGTGTGCAGTGCGTGACACCTGAGCCTTCTTATACCGAAGTGACTGCAGTATGGCAAGCGCTTCCCCTTCGTCAAAGGCCGTCCGAACCGAAGACCCACCATCAATAAGACCGGAGTTGAAGATGGTGCTACATGTTCCTGCTTCGTGCTCCATAGTGAGAGAAGTTCGGCGCGAAGGTGTATATGAATGCCAAGCTTCATATAGCGTAGCGAGCGTTTCAGCTTAGAAGCGAGCGTCGACACTCGTCGCGTTCCACAGGGCGGCAATCGCTTGTCAGCCAGATTGGACGGGACATCTGGTGCGACACGGGAATATGCTGTCTGCGTCCAAGTGGAAATTGGGCATGTTTCGGGCTTGCATGTCCTACTGGGCGGTGGATGTGAGGTCCGGAAGGATTGCACGCGCCGTGGCATTCATTCTTCGCCGTCTGAGCTCGCAAAGGCAGTGTCTGGTCCTCCAACTGACAATTGTCAGGGTAGTCGGAAGCATAGACATGCCAGGCGTTTGGTGATGTTTTTCTTCCACCCATGTGGACATGAAGCGGAAATATCTAGCGGCGGTGCGGGAGACGAGATTCCATCAAAATTTGATGTAGCGTGAATCGTTGTTGTGTCAATTTGTGCATTAAGCCGCCCCTTACTAATCTAAACTTAGTGAGGTCAATTGATTGGACCAGCATACGGACCAGTTAAAGACCGGACTAGTTAAAGACAGTATCGTATTAAAGTCGTAAACCATTCGTTTAAGTAATTAATCAATTATACAGGTACAAGGCTTTTGACTACCAACTGCTACCGAAATCCGTTGTATCATCCTCAATACATCTCACCATGATCAAGTCGTCATTGACGGACATCTGCTCTCACCAAGTGATACCGCCACTACACCCACAGCCCAACCTCGACTTCCTGGCCTTCTGGCACACCTCGCAGAGAGCTGCGCAAAAAATTCCAAGAGCTTTCCCCTCATCGAGTGAAGTCATCACATGGAGAATTGAAACTTCATCAACCTTCTCGAGCCTCGCCCATCCAGGAAATCTTCTTCAACGGGCTCCGCCCGGGATTGGTCATTTTGGATAGGAGAAGTCCAGTTTGCCTTCTACTTTCTTTTGTGCGCCTATCAGCGCGTCCTAATCGGTTGCGGCTTGCACAATGACCGGGAAAGAATCGGGACAAGAGATCGTTGAAAGCTTTCTCGACCTTCCGATACCAGCCTGTGGAGAGAGCGCTATTCGACTCGAGAATAGGATAGGCATGCACGTTTCCTGGAATTGCATTGCTGTATGCAAGAATGTGACACCAATCAAGTGCGCGAAGCATTAACCAGGTGCTACGGTTCGTGCAGGTAGCATGATGACAGTCTTGTCATATTCGTCCTCGCTCAATCTTTGGCCCAGGGTAGTTGCACTGCTCTCACGCCAGGTATCGAGAGTGGGAGWCTTATTGGGAGGTGTGCGACGTGAGGATCCGATGGAATCTACGTTGTTGCCGGCTTCGACATGCCGTGACGCTTGGCTTTTACGAGATCTGAGGCGTTTCACCAGCCCGGCAACGGCGGGCAGATTGCAGGAGATCATGCCCAGGTGGAGCTCAATCTCACTCCAGGTTCCGAAATGTCCATAGTCCCAGGTAACGTTGGTGGTGTTGTGTAGAGGGAAGATGGATCTTAGCCGGACAATGCTTATGGCTGTGACGACAAACCCGAGCAGAAACACAACGCATATGCTGGAAATTTGGTCAGTCTACTTGCTGTTCAGATCTCCTTGGGCAAATCTTACCCGGTCTTCCTCTGTTTGGAGACTCCTGCTAAAGACATCAGCTTGGGCAAGGGTAGGAGAAGGACCCAGAAGTCCAGTGCAATATTGATCCCCGCCACGCTGTAGACCACAGGCAGAAGCTGAATGCCTTTGTATGACAGCCGAACGATCGCAGTGTCGCCGAGGTAGTAGTGTAATGGCCAGGAGACGATTATCGCCCCAACTGAGAATCCAACCATGCACGCTACCAGTGCTGCAATAGTGGCCCAGCACATTTTGCGGAACGCCGTGTTGAACTCCCACCTGTCATGGATCAGCTTGTATTGCGAGGCAAAGCCTTGGACACACATACATTCTCAAATACAGAGCCACCCAAGCAACTTTCGTGCCGTAAGTTCCAATGACATAGAATGGTACGCTGATCTGAATGGGTGTCAATCCACAGGCCGTGGGTTCAGTTACGACATCTTGGGATGCATTGCACTTACGTATATCCACATCAACATTCTCTGGATATCTTCCGAATCCACAATCCCGAAAGCATCTCTGCCTGACCAGCTGCGTCGGAGGTACACCAAGCATACCGCCATCTCAATGGACAGTACCCAGAGGCCCAAAACCAACCAGTCATCCCACCAGAGTCCAGGACCGCCCATTCGTGGTAATCGAGCCATCAACCTGCCAATGACGGATAGTGTGGCTATTCCGAAAAGAGACCAGGCTAAGCTGATTTCACTGATCCCTTTATCGCGTGCTTTCAACTCGCATTTTGCTGCGTAGTACGTCTGCCAATCCAGTACATCCTGAAGCCTGGGACACTCCCTTTGCGCACATCGGGTGGCATCTGATGTGAAGACTTGGTGATGCGTACATGCTGTGGTCAGGTTGATGGGGAATTGCTCTCGGCATGAGTCCGCACACGCCGGCGGGATTGGTAGGTCGTGTCCAGCAGTGGAGTTGATCGTGAGCTGATCATCGATCTGGACGTTGTCCGCAACGTCCTGCGCTGCGAATGTTGCGGCGACGGTGGCGCATATCCAGAAATTGACCCGCATATTGAATACAACCATTTGGCGAATGCTGCGGATTCAGGCATTGGGCACCTACATATGTATCGAAACTGCGGGGGAGGCAATAGTGGCAAGTAGGCGACCGTGGTTCCGGTGGAATTTTTGGCGGTTTGCCTTTTGTGGTTCCGCCTACTATAGGCTGTGTTCCTCCCCGTCATCGCAGACGATCAGCAAGTCCAGACCTTTTGGCGGATACTGATCATGCATCTTCTTGCGTGAACCATCAATGCTAGCTGCAGCCTGGTATGAAGAGTTGTGCGGTCGTCCTGCACCTTCTCGAGAGGGTCGATCGTGCGTAGGGGAGTGACCCTGCAAACACCTCACCGCCCGTCTTCCGACATGCACCATTTGCGATGCGGAGCGAGGTCCTCTTCCGGGTTGGGGGGAACTACCTGCTTCAACGATACACTCCAACCCTTCCGAAGTGATGCGTCGTCTTTGCAGTCGTCTATGTTAGCAGAACCTCAACAGCCAGATCATCTACAGTTCGGTGATTGAGCTCATTGGGAGGAGCACCATCAAAGTACGCAGGTTTCCTATGCTTACCCGCTCTATACACCGGAGAAGCACTTGATGGGATCAATGTGCCACCACTATTAGCTACGGTCTGCATTCAGGGATTGCAGGTCCCTACTAGGCGAGAAGGTATAATACCCGGTTTCAGCTTCCGGTCAGAGCGACGCGCATGTCGGAGTACCTGCGCCAAGGTTCCCGGTCCAAGGTGTGCCCGAGTGGTTTAAAAGATGTACCAAGATGTGGTCCCTGCCCCGCTTCCAGCGTGATGGAAAGTGAGACATTCTGTATTCGAAGAATGCGAGTGTATACCGCCATCTCCTATTTGAGCGGAGAGGCCGTTCCCAGGCGACGGGTTGGAAGACGATACGATGCAACTTGGAAGCCCGATGTGCTCACATCGAGCAAAGTGGAATGTATTGTTGAAGCCACGCGATGATGTCTGCTCAGAGGATGTGAAGGCGAACATGCTTTACAAATCATCATTCCTCTCCACTCAATAGAATACTGCAAGAAATCGGTAGCATGTCGATCATCCGAACGAAATCGCGACTTGTCTGAGTCTTCCCGGCATTCAGAAGACGACTTGAACCCAGCGCTGTCAAAATTCTGGATGAAATGGTGCTTACGGAGATGTCGATAGGTATGGAGGACCGTTCGCAATGAATTGAAGGGAGATATCCGAAAGCAAGGCGCCGCGAGGATGAGGTATGCATGGTATGCATGCAGGGGCGTTCTTGAGAGTTTGGGTGGTCGGTAGTCTCAGAGGACACAGACCGACCAATGACCAAATTATTCGCTTCGACGTGCCGTTCACGCTTTCGAATCATGGTTAGCGCACCCTGCAGTCTGTATGCTGAGACAAAGTAGATCATAATGCAGTATCTCGTCCCTTGAGCCTTCGGTCTAGGTATAGACATGATAGTCCTGGGATTCGCAGACGTTGACTACAATGTCCAATTATCACAATGCCTCTGTCATGCTCCTAGCTGTTGTGGCTTGCGGCCACACACAGAAGTATTCGCCAACAGTCAAACTTTGCGAATCGTAAGGACGCGAGGTCTTCAAGGTATTTCCAGTCGTGAGAGGCGCCATAGTCAAGCCTCTCCATCCAGAACTTCCAAGTAGGGACAAGCGGTATCAGCGGAGACGGTTCTACCAGCCCAGCCCCCCACTCCATCCCCTTGCAACTTCTCTGACCAGTCCCTCCCTGACCAAACCCACCACCAATTTCTCCCCACTATCTCTCTCATTCAAACCCACAACTCCCCTCCTCCAATCCCACCCTCTGTGCACCTCGCCCTTCGCCACGACCTGTTCGGCTAGCTCCGCGCTCAGCACATCCCAACTGCTGCCCACACTCCTCCCCAGATCTCCACCAATCTCCTTCTTCTTTTGCCTCGTAAGTGGCCCCGTTGCCAGAGTCGCTTCCTCCCGATATGCACCGAGGCTCGCGCTGAGCAGGCCACCGGCTTCGTCGTGGATGCGTCCCGGACAAGCTTCCCAATCTTCAAGCAATCCCAGCAATGCGAAAGTCTGTTGCTCGGTGAAGATCCTCTCGCCACWTCCTAGCAAAGGCAGACACTCTCCAAACAAGTTCAGCAGTCCCTCGGCAGGGATGGCGGTCTCAGCTTCCGGATCGAAGAGTCCACCAGGAATGCAGTCTGCAGCCGAGGTGATGACTGCGAACAAAGCTGTAGCCGCCGCCCGCCTTCGCGCGAGAGATGATGTATTCGATCCATCTCGKAGGTCAAAAAATTGCCTCAGCGTAGCGTAGCCACTAAGTTGTGAGGAGAGAAGAGTGGCAGCCTCCATGTCAACATCGGCGAGATTTCTCAACGCTGCGCGATCTTTGTTGATGAGAGCTTCCAGCTGGTGATCGGTGCCACCCATGGGAGGGGTGGACGTGGAATGCAGCAAGCACAATCCTGTGAGGTGGTTGAGGTTGGCCTTTAGTTTCTGAACGGAGCGTGCGCGGGCGTAGTAGATGAGGGCGTCTCCGTACGTAGCCGTATCCTCGGCAAGAGAGTCTGCGTATCGTTCGGCAATGTCACGGAGTTGATCGACTTGTTCGAGATCCTCGCAGACAGAAAGTACTTTGTCAACGCGGTCAGAACTCTCCAAAGGGATTCGATCCAGAAGGCCGGCGATCTTGGGACTTGCAGAAGAGGACTCATCAAGGCGATTCAGGACTGCTACTGCTAGCTCCCAGCCTTCGTGTTCGCCAATCTAAAACGCCGTCAGCACTGCATGAATGAGAATAAGATGATACAACAAACCTGCTGTCTGCTTGCAAGCAAATCGGCATACTCGCAGAGAAAGCCGTCCCGATCAATGTCATCTGGATTCGTGTCCACGGGACCATGCGAGAGCACAAGGAGATCTTCTCTAGAGAACCCTTGGTCCAACAAGTCACCGCGACCACCACGAGGTCTTGTCAGAGGTAACCAATCACCAAGGGCAGCGATTTCAACGACGGAGATGGCGATTGGCATGCTGTACTTGCGCAGCATCCTCACTGCATTTCCAACGCTGTCTTCCAAGATACAGGCGATCCCGACTTGCACAGGGTCCAAGGTATCGACGGAAAAGACGCTGTCTTGCGGGTTGTCGGTCACAGTCATCAAGGCGTCTCCAAGTCTTCTTCGATAGGCGGCAAGAGGTGCAATGTCGACTTCGCGTGTCTTTTGAACGGTACTCTTGCGCATTCCGCTCCGACCGAGACTAGCGCCACGGTCTTCGCTGCCCAAGCCGTCCCACCAGACAGTCAAATAGAGAGATGCTTCCAACCAATCTTGTGCCGTCATCAGGATTTCATCGGTCGATCCCAGCAATAGTCCGTACAGCAGCTTGAGGTTCTCAAAGATGCTCCAAGGAACCCTGCTCTCAGCCCGTCGACTTGCAGTAGACAGACTCAAATGACTTCCTCGTGCGCTCCGCTCAAAGGCATTTCCGAGGGAAGCATCCAAATTGTCGCCTTCTGCGAACGCTTCCAGATCGTCCAGAGCTGCACGTGTTCGCTGGCGGAAGATGTTCCACTCTACACCCTTGACATCCCAGTCGTTGTGTTGGTGGGCGGGGCAGCCTTCAATTGTCCTAATGCACATCCCAATCACCTCCTCTGTATTGGCGAGTTGATGGCCCGTATAACCCGGGTCGTGCGATCCATCATCCAGTGCCGTGACTGCGTGCTCCCATCCTGCGTCTCTCAGTAGAGACACGACTCGATCGAGCCTACCTCTCAACGCCGACGCGTAGATGACATCCCAGAAAGACTCGTGAGCAGCAGGTGCGGGATGATAAACGTGAATGGCTCCAAAGTCGTCGGGGAAGGGGAGATGATACTTGTTGAGCCAGTCCAGTAGTCCCTTGGGGACAGTCGTGCCGTGGTTGGGTCGWGCAGAGGGTCGTGTGGTACGTGTCGTAGCCTGGGGATTGGCCGTGTGCGGGTGGTGGAGTTGGAGCAAGAGAGTTGCCATGTAGTTGGCAATGGTGAAGGCATCTGTCGATTGAGGACCTAGGGCGCCTGGTCGTGTGGATGCATCGGCCTTGCTGGCCCACAGTTTGGTGAGTTGAGCGGCCGTTTCGAGGAGAATTTCATCCGCGTCTCGGGGTGATCGCCGGACTTTGGCGTCCAACTCGGCGACAATGCTCTGGCTTTGGAGGATGGTCTGGTCCACTTCGTGCAACTCCGCCGGGGGAGCATTATTCGTCAGTCTTCGGGCAATGCCCGCCATGGCCGTTGTTTCTCGCACTCGTCCATCATGACTGCGCTTCAGTCCGCGCGGATGGTTACTCCCCGGGGCARGCAGCGAGTTCATAAACGGCATTTCCACCTCACTTTCATCCTCTTCATACGCTGCATCATCCTCCTCGTCGTCGTCGTACCCCTCTTCATCTTCATCATCATCATCGTCATCCGGCACACTGAAGCTGGCGTGTTTGTTGTGTTGGAAAGTGCTGGGTCCTTTGCTGCGCCGGAACGTGTCGTGGTGGGGATTGAAGGAGGAATTAAACTGCGATCGCGTCGGAGGTGCGCCGTCCGGTGTCGTGGTGTGGTCTGTTAGCCACGTCGGAGGTGCGCCGGCTGGCGTCGTCGACGGCGCATTGCTGCGGATCGAGCGAGCGTTGGGCGTCGACGGCATCTTTGCAAAGGCGATGTTGTTCCCTCGGTAGGTTGCGCAGTATCCGCAAGATTTCCAGCTGGGGTGAAGCTCGCCAGATCAAAAGATCAGCCGAATGAATAAGTTACCTAGAATGCACCCGACGAGTGTCGGCGCGATCAAACGAGACGCGATTGGGCCGCACTTTACCCGAGACTTCACCCAGCTTCCAATTGATTGACCTTTCACTTTCACGCTTAGGGTTAGGGTTTGGGTAGCAGAAAATCAAGTAAAGTGCTTCGGTGTGATCGAAATTGGGCGGTACCTTCCAAGCGCAACGCGAATCAAACAGCTTATCGGTAATACCAATTGGTATACTCTCTTCGGGAGTATCACGTTTGTTGACATGGAATTGTCGAGTGAAGCGACCTTCTCCCTTCCACCAAAAACTCCACGGCCCATTTTCTCCGACCAGTTGATTGCGGAATTTCTTTCACACCAACACAATTTTATCGTTTGTACAATGGCCATCAACCCACCAAGAACGTCGTCAGCTAGGATCYACAGATGAAGTCAGAAATACCTCGAACTCGTCGAGATGTGTGAAAGAGTTCTCGACCAAATGCTCGGCAGACACTCCTGATGTATCCTCTTGGATCCACCAGAGGAAGTCACAAGACTCTTCCGTTGAAGCCATCATGGATCCACTTCCACCATGGTGGACGAGTTCTACAATCTGTTCTCACTCAATCGGATTCAATATGAAGTAGGACAATGCTCCTTCAGGTTCGAAAACATGCGATTACGATGCTCTTCTCAACATAGCCAATCAGCTGCAGTGCACATCTTTTCGACGCTGTTCTTACTTGACTGTTGAGGAGATAACTTGGAAGGTAGTCATTGAAGCTGTCAAGGAGTCGGGACCAGGAAGCGGGCTGAATGGAATGAAGGGAGCGACGTGTGAAGGGAGCGTTACGCGGAACAACCTCCCTTAGAGAAGGATGATGGTATTAGGAAGAGAAGTTGGCAGTCTGGGAAGATGAACCTGGGAGATAGAAGTCTGCGTCGCATTTATGTGTGAGTCTTGGGAAGAATTGACAGTTTCTCGAAGACGAGCATTGTATGTCAAGTCTCTTGGTTCGAAGACCTCGTTGCGAAGGGAATCCATCAAGCCTTCAGGGCGAAAATTACCCCGTCTGTACAGTCGCGAAGATGTATTGGCGTCTCCGAAAAGGTGCGTTTCGATGAAAACATGCCACACCGCCATGGCGGGGAGTATTGCCCGCACCAATATCACTCAACACATGGTCACTTGAGCGCAATCCACGGGTAGTGTTCCTCGTTCTTATCATGTCGGCCTTTGATGGAGTACTTTACTTGCTCTACCAGCCGAGAGGGGTCCAGGTCTGTCAATGTTTGTCGAGCTGAAGGTAGTCACGAGTGGCCAGCAAGGTAGGTACCATCGAGCATCGGTCCCGTGCTCCTTCATCTTGCAGGGCGTGCAGCAGCAAACCTCGTTTCCCCTCCGGCTACCTTCGGCGATACGACCGTGTGCCTTATCACAGCCCATCATAGCCAAGGTAAATAACCTCGACAGCTCTCCAATCCAATCCAACCAGTAAGCAACGTTTGCAGGCTCATCGCTACCTTGGAATCTCTTCTCCGGTGATATCTTCGGCTGGTCGGCCTTCCGGCTCGCACCGCAATTCTCTTGGCCCGGGCCCAAAACCGGCTCGCGCCCTCTGCCTAGCTTCAATCACGCCATCTGCTCGCCTTTTGGTTGGCCCTCGACATTGAAGAAATCACCAAAACAGGACGGTATGGCTTCTATCTGGACTACAAACGTCCTCAAAGTCCCGAAACGGAGTCTGCTATTCACAGGAAGTTCAAATCATGTGCTGGTGAGGTGGGTGTCGTCGTCGCCGAAGAGTCAGGTCATTAGGAGTGCGACGGGTGCGAGAAAGAGTGGGTCGGAGATCAACAACACATTTCGATCCAAGAGTCGAGGATATGCATTTGACTGGAATGGAGTGAGGAGAACGAGTAGTACTTGGCACGCTGGACGAGGACAACCGCAGAAGAGTGATGCAAAGGGTGTGTTGGGACTGTTGTTGGGAGTCTCGGCCGTTGCGGCTTTGGCTGCACCAGTCGTGAGTTGGGTGCATGATCAGACGGATCAGCTTGTTATCGACATCGATGATGATGATGATGCGATCAAAGTCGTTGGAGGTAGGAAAACGACGATTGCAACAGTGCCAATACAAACGCTGACCAAGTGATATTATAGACAGCTCAAGTCTCCGCCTTTCCGAAGTCGTTACCCACGATCGGTCAGCAGAGAGGAAATGGGTCATCCGCGGAACTTCAGTCTACGACATCACCGAATTCATTGCATGCCATCCCGGCGGCGAAGTCATTCTCAGAGCATGCGGTGGCAGCATCGACCCATACTGGAAACTCTTCACCATTCACGACAAACCCGAAGTTCGTCAACTCCTCGACTCTTATCACATCGGCGAGATTGACGAGCGAGATTTGGATGATGGTGGAAAGATCAACTGGTCGGTTCTCGACGGTCCATCAATATGTATCGAAGATCCCTTCAAAGACGACCCGGAACGGGATGCCAGCTTGATCGTCCAGACAGCAAAGCCCTGCAATGCTGAGACCCCGGGAAATCTCCTGGGTGACTTTCTCACTCCCATCCGACTATTCTTCGTTCGCAATCATCTCTGGGTACCCACCATCGAGGCACAGGACCACAAGCTGAACATTGAACTGTCCGACGGCGAGGAAATGTCATATTCCATTGAAGACCTGAAGAAGAAGTTTCAACAACATACCATCACTGTAACTCTCCAATGCGCCGGAAATCGTCGAAGCCRTATGAGTAAGACCTCCGCCAACGGCAAAACCGCAGGCCTTCAATGGGACGTCGGCGCCATTGGCACCGCAGAGTTCACGGGCGTTTTACTTCGCGACATCCTCATCGACTCCGGCTACGACGTCAACCGAGCATGCACACCTTGTCCGAACGATGAAGACGCCGACAAGCACATTCATTTCTGCGCGCCTAGCGACACCTACGAGCAATCGATCCCAATCCAAACCGCCCTGAACCCTACATCGGACGTGCTTTTGGCCTGGAAAATGAACGGCGAACCAATGAMTCGGGACCACGGAGGTCCGTTGCGCGCCATTGTACCGGGAAGTGTGGCAACTCGTTCAGTCAAGTGGATTGGCAAAGTCCGGATCAGCAATGAAGAAAGTCAGAGCAATTGGCACAATCGAGACTACAAATGTTTTGGCCCGAATGTCCGAGCCGCGGATCTGAAGCCCGAGGATTGGGAGCAAGCACAATCGATCCAAGAAATGCCTGTACAATCCGCCATCACCAAGATTGCTCGGAGCGGCAACCTTTCAACACCAACATCCGTTTCCGGATTCGCTTACTCAGGCGGCGGGCGGAAAATCGTCCGAGTAGACGTCTCTGCAGACGGAGGCAAGACTTGGAAGCAAGCTTGTCTGAAGAAAGATGACGCGAAAGGAACGAGGAGATGGGCGTGGACTTTGTGGAGTATTGATTGGGAGAAGGAACAGCTTCCCAAGAATCAGGAGGAGGTCGAGTTTGTGGTCAAGGCAGTGGATTGCTCTTACAACTGCCAGCCGCAGACGTTTGATGCGACTTGGAATTTCCGGGGCTTGTTGGGCAATGCGTGGCATCGGGTGCCATTGTCTGCAGTTGCGTGAGGCCATGAATGAGGATTTCGAAGTGGTATGGGATTGGGAGGTCTTTGTGCGGCTTCGACGAGCCGGCAGAGTTATGAATTAACGACTTTCACAACTTAATACCCATTTGCAAGGTTATATCTTCCCCGCATGAGTGATGTCCGATCTTGCGGTCTCGGTGCCGGTGATTGCTGCCACGATGGGAGAGCTCAGATGCTCTGTTGAGGCGGTCGTTCAGGCGAAGTTTCACCATGGCGGCAATCGCTGAAGACTAGGATTCCTTGCCCAGTCCGTAAATCGTATGCTTCAATCATCATCTTCGTCGGAAAACTTTCAGCCCAACTGAAAGGACCCGTAGAAGACACACAAGGCCTTGCTTGACCCGTGCATGCAATAGTGAATGACCTTTAGCTTTTCTCCATTCTCCTCGCCTTTCTTGTCAAACTTGACCAGTTGTCGTACGTCCGAAGTCCGTGGAAGATAGAGCACAAAGTCATCCGTCACCTTGGAATATGCCTCATACAAATGTTGCATATTGTAAGGCTCCATGTACGAGAGGTCAAACACATCCCAGTCAGTATAGCTCGGACCTACAAACCCATCAATCATCATCAGCACAAACTCACCCATCTCCCAAGTTTTTCGGATATTGGTTCCACTCACCTCCCCAAGGCGGACTCGCAAACACCACAGCATTCTTGGCCGCAGCCTTGAGTCGAATCTTCAACGCCTCAAAAACATCCCCCTGGGTCCAGAAAATCTTCTTCGCCACTCCATAAACTTCCGCATTATGCTTCGCACACGCAAGAGTTTTGGGATCCTTTTCTACGGCAAAGATTTGTTTCCAGCGACCGGAGAGGGCGAAAGCAATGACATTCCCACCTGCGCCCGCAAAGGCGTCTATGAGGATTGTCTTGGATGCTGGTGCTGTGGCTACATGCTCTGCGATTTTGCTGGAAGAGGGTAGTTAGGATAAGAGGAAATTCAAGGGATGGGAATGGCGATGATTGTCTACGCACTTTGCGATTGGTTCTGGAGTTACGCCGAACCAGGCATCGTCTGTGAGCCAAATTCCCTCGTCATATTTGGAGAAGATGTTGTAGCGTTGATGCCAGTATTTTGTGTTGGCTTCGGGGAGGTCGCTGGCGTATTCGTAGTGGTGGATGCCTTCTGGTGGTTCCGTGGTGGTAGGCATTTCGCGATGTTGATTGTGATTGCGAATGTAGTTGTTTGAAGTGAAGTCAATGTTGGTGGTCTGAAAGAAGAGGCACAAGCGTCCCAATTTGGTCGTGGGACTGTGCGAGCGTGTCATAAGTCGTAGTAGGTTTAGTCGGAGCAATTATGCGCTCATCGCTCGCTTCAAGCTTGAAAACATCCCAGTTCCATGGAAACTCTCGTTTTCGTTGTGCATGGCGTGTTCTGCTCACGAGAATAACATGGCCGCCTCTATCCCGGGCAGAGCAGGCCTTGCCCATCACCTGTGAGGCAACAATCAGCACGACGGGACCCAGACCAAACCTGATCTCCAAGGTCATCACGATGGGAGACATCAGCTACCGAATCGCGGTGACGATACTGAACATCCTCTTCCCGCCACTGGCCGTGGCTATTCTATGCGGCTTTGGTGCGGACTTCATGGTCAACTGTCTTTGGTTTCTCCTCGCGGTCATACCAAGCCACATACATGGATTCTGGATCAGCTGTACTTACTTCCATCGGCGAAGAAAGGTGAGGATTTCTGTTCATATCCAAATTGAAAAAAATTAATTAAGGCAAAAGGTCCGCAAAGGCAGATATCCTGGCGGTCTGAAGCCCATGATGTATTCACACAGAGTCCTGAATGGAGGAGCTAGCGATAGGGAGGTCGAGCGCCTGCGGAAACTGGAGATGGGAGGGAAGAAAAGGAGACATCGGTCAAGAAGCAGAAGCACGARCTCGAGACGATAGCGGACGCAGAAAAGTCAACGCGATCGTCCATAGCTAGACGCCTGGACCGGTCGGCCTGGAAAGTTGATTTCATCCACCGATGCTCCGTGAACAGAGCACGAACACAGCCGTAGGCGAATGGCCGAAGAACGGAATCTGAAGCCCGCCTGTTGCTTCGACCAGAAGCATGTGTTTTGGGACGCTTCTCGTACCGAAGCTTTATCAGATACATGTATTTCTCTCTGCCATGGGTCGAGCATTTGCCAACGAAGGAGTTGGAAAGCACAAGCATCCATTATATTGGTGACTGAGACTCCGCTTCGAACAGAACACGAGAGAGAAGTGCTGAACTGAAGAAAGAATCGTAACGTTCTGCAACCTAAACATCGACGAATTGAATCCACGCCACCATACAACGGTAAAGACTGGCCCTAATCCTATCCTCTCGGCCGTGAGCAGTTCGTACCATACCGTTTCCAGCACCATCATCCGATAAGCTCCTTCACCGTCTCGCATCTCTGCTGTTCTGGCGAAGGCGGAAAGATCTTCGTGAAAGCTTTACCTTCACACTGTGTCTGGTACTCCAGTCTCAAACACTTCATCTGCGCTTCCGATGGCGGGAAGATGGCAATGAAGTTTGCATTTTCGCATTGGGCTTTGTATTGAAGCTTCATACATTCCATTTCTGCCTCTGTGGGAGGGTAAATGGCAGGGAATGCCTTTCCTTCGCACTGGGCTTTGTATTGGGCTTGCGGATCCGTGTCGTCCGCTGGCGAGGGGCTGCATTCCCTCTTGTGCTGTACAATGTTAGCGCATGTGCTCAGAATTGAGCTTTATGTTCGTCCTTACGTTGGGAGAAGGTGCGGACAAAACGCCTGCAGCCATCGTGGCGAGCATGAAGAATGTGAACTGCATGTTTTCAAGCTTTTGCTGTGGAAGTTTGTCGATTTGGCTRGTAGATGGAAGCTAGGAATAGGTGGAAGGTTTGCTGACTATATGTATCCGTGATCTGGAAGGATCCAAAAGCTTCCACAAATATGGGCGAGCCGACCTCACCGTAGTTTTATGTAAAAAGAACTTTGCAAGTCTCGAGGCTGACTCCGTACCGGCATACTTGTCGATCAAAATAGCCTTCTCGACACAGGGGTTGAACCTTCAAGGAATGGAACCGTTCGTCTTGGCACTCAGGTCTGATGATCAGTYGACTGCATTCCTTGACTTCAGCTTTCGAATGGAAGAAAAAACATTGACACATCCCTGCGATTCTCGTGTCAGCGTCGATTGGATTGCTTGCTGTCACAACACCAAGAAGTCGAATGCGCAATGATGTGACCTACATGCACGAGGAGATCGCCGCCAAGCCGCCAACAACGCTCCGGGACTTTCGGGATCCTTTGCCGTTCAAAGGAGGCACGACTCGCACGAATCGGAACAGAAGTATTCTTGGCATTTTTGACAAGTGTGGACGATGGGCAACACAACATTATTGTAGGATTCGGAATGGGAATGCTGACATGTGTGGAGTAGCTGAGTACAGACTCTGTCGCTTGCTTCCATAAGTGGACTAGCTATGGAGCTAGCGCCTAGATGAGTGAGTTGTAGCGATGCCAATACCAATACGAGCTGAGTGGCTTATAGCTGAAGATGCGATGAATACAAGAATGTACTTCCTGTGTTTCAAGAGAGCTCTGGCAGATCCGTTGGCTCCGCCACACGACCGTACTCGCGGAGCTCGGCAAGCTCAGCGTTGCCTTGGTTCTGCAACGGCTTTGCGACCGCCTCGCCAGTCTACACTCAACAATCATGATACTAGACTCTTATTCGACCAAGTATTGCTTAAGCCACTCACGTGGCAGATGGGCCAGACCCTCACAGGCCTATAACAACGTTACTCAAGCCCCGCCAGTCATAACAGTTCGGCCGTTTGACAAGGCTGGCAATTTCGCTGTTCAAGTCTCGAGGCCGTTGTGCAATACAGCCAACATGTGGGGTATTGCTGTCTGTATTGCACATGGCATATGGTGTCGCTCCCTTGAAGATGTGGCAGGGAGCAGATATCCGTTGTATCAATGGCAGGAAACATTGACAGAGTGGTTGGCAACATGAGTATATACATGCTCACCGTAGTCTGGATGCTGCTCTTATCCATACGGTCCATCGTTAAAGAGCAACTTTTTATGATTCGATAAATCATTCAAGAATCTCCAATCATGAAATCACACGCGCAATCAACATTCCTCCTTCTAGCAACCATCACATCCCTCACAACAGCCGCACCACGCACCGACCCTCAACAAAAACAATGCGATGGCCGTCGAATTTCCCCTTTAAGAAACAGTCAGCATCGAACAACCGGTCCCCTACGAGCAAACTCCACAGGTCTCGACAGCAGAATCTCCTTTGGCAAATCTTCCGAAGTGCAATATAGTTCCAACTGGGCCGGAGCCGTGCAAATCAGCGAGGAAATCACAGAAGTCAGCGGCCAAGTCACATTTCCACGAGTCGCAGCCCCAAAAGGTGCTTCCCCAGACCAGGGGTACGGCGGGTCAGTCTGGGTGGGTATCGATGGTGATACATGTTCGCAATCAATTTTACAGACGGGAGTCGATTGGGTTGTTCAAGGAAATACAGCGACTTATGCGGCTTGGTATGAATGGCTGCCAGAAGCTTCGTATGATTTTGATATTGTGGTCAATCCGGGAGATCAGATTGAGATGAAAGTCGTGGCGGATAGCGCGACGGGTGGTACAGCGTGAGTACTCCCTGAACCAGAAATTGGARGAAACTTGCAAACTGACGGGTATTTCACACAGAACCATCTCAAATTTCTCAACAAATGAAACGGTATCGCACACCTTTTCGGGTAAAAGCGCTCTTTGCAAACAAAACGCGGAGTGGATCGTCGAGGACTTTTCCATCTCGGACGGGCAGGGTAATATGGGACTTGTACCGTTTGCCGCTTTCGACACCATCGTCGTCACAAATGCTACTTATAAGGCCAATGGCGAGACCGCTGGTGTAAGTGGCTCGACTATCATGGACATCTCGCAGGGTGGGCAACCCCTTACAAACTGTGCAACCAGTGGGGATAACAACGTTGTCTGCAAGTATAAGGGAGCGGGCTCGGAGACGAGGTTCATGTGAGCTGGACTCATTGAGAGATGCGTCGTTACATTCTTGTKAGCTGGTCTTCCGCCCTGACGATGGATTTTCAATTCGGATATGGGCTTATTATTCTGTTCACTTTTGATTCGAGGCTTGCATTAGCGTTGATATAATTAGTATTGCATGCAGAAAACTTCACCGGTTCTCGCCATCTCGTACGCGCTGGTGACTAACTCTGTGAACTTGAAGCCAGGGAGCTCTGTGTGGACCATTCCTCAAATCACTAGCCATTCCTCTCCGATTGCCTGAGCAGCTTCATCATTCCCAGCCAAGGCATAGAAGCCTTGCAGCGCAAAAGCAGCCTCCGGCGCAAAGTCTTCAATCTCGCACTCCTCTGGCTTTCCCCTGTCATCAAACTCGGCCTGTACCTGTGCACTGAGCTCAAGAACCTTTTCGTATCTTGGAACAGCCAAGTGCGTGAGGCCCAGATGATGCCACATGCGTGCGACATTGTACTCTGCCTCTTGAATATCGCAAGCCTTGCCACTGGCAACCCGTAGATCATAATACCGGAACATCGCCGAAAGTCCCTGGTTGATACCGAATTGTCGATTGTCGGTCTGTCGCTTCATGGAGTTCTGAACAAACATTGCGGCTATGCTGAGGTTGACGCAAATATTGTCCGGCTGGAGAGCGAGGGCACGGAAGAAGTATGGTAGAGCACTGTGAGAGTGATTCGCTTGCGCCACCATGTGTCCATATATGATGATCACACCTGCGTCGAGGACGGTTTGGTTGCCTGCCGCCTCTTCCTTCTTGGCTCTGGTAGCAAGGGAAGGCCCTTGTATTGACCAGTCGATCTGCTCTCGCACGTCGGGTGTCATGGCAAGGTAGTCATACTGTTTGACCATTCGAAGCATGAACTTTTGTGCCGGTCCACTGCTGAACCAATTGCTTCCCGTGGAGAAGCGGTTCAACGCCGCGAGAAGCTGAAAGGTATCCGGAGAGGCATAGTCAGAGTCGGTGATGACCTTGCGCGCCAGCTCAATCCAGTATTGACTGTCATTGAAAGCCAGGGCACAGGAAAGTGATGCGGAATAATTCGCACGACGAAGATCCTTGTTCAAGAAGAACACATTTGCTCCCCAAAGGACGTCTTGCAGAATTTTGTAGCACTTGTCCTGCTCACCTGTTTTTGAGTAATAGATGGCAAGACTGGTGAAGATATGATGCCATGCCGTAAAAGGTATCGATAGGAACTGATGCGGATCACGATTGGCTGAGTGGTGCATGTCTCGGACAAGTCCCTTCCCAGTGTCTTCGGAGACCTTCATTGGGACGTTCTTGTCGCGGGCGGGAAAGAACACCTTCATGGACGTGAAGTCCTCCATCATGCTACTTGCAGCACCGACCCATTGCTCCACCGACTCTTCTTCGCTGCCCTCTTCGAATGATGCCCAATGTGCTTGGATTAGGGCATAGTTGGTGAGAGCTCTAGCTTCTGCGTCCGCGATCCGACGGTAACGCTCCTCAGCCGCCCGCTTCTTCTTCAAATTCTGCGGTTTGACTAGTCGTGGTCGCTTTACAGTGGGAGTGCCTTCACCGTCCTCTCCCACGCCCGCAGAGACAATGTCTCTCTTCTTGACACGTTTGCGTTTACGGACACCGGTAGCGTCAGCGTCGTCTCCAGGGGCATCTGGATCTTTGGCCTTTGCGCGTTTTCTTTTGCGTGGCTTCTTTGCGGTTGCTCCTTCTGGGTCAGCTTCATCGTCTGGCAGCTCGTCATCGGGCCGGAACTCTGGCTCCGCTACTTTCTTCCGCGCCTTAGTTCTGGGTTGCTGAGGGTCGAGCTCGGATGTACCAGGAGTGAATGCATATCTAGTGTTGGCTGGAATCATCTGCACCTTGGCATCTGTGAGCAGGTCTCGGCGGCCCAAGCGGATCAAGTCATTGCACATGAATCTCGCTTTGTCGATGTCACCCGCATCCTCGTACAGCTTTGCCAGGAGAGCACCGGCTTTGGCGTATCCGTTGAGAGTGGTGTAGTGTTGACCACGCCGGGGTGTAGCATGCATGCTAATGACGGCCTCGAAACATCGAATGGCGTCGCTCGGTCTCTCAAGTGATATATAACACGTCCCAAGCTGCATCCACACCTTTTGATCCAAGATAGATGGTGTACTAACGCTGCGAAGAGCGTCGAGGTAGGGCGCTGCATCTTGTAGCCATCCACCATCCCTGAGACTGTTGGCGGTCTGCAGGAACATGTCGTGGTATTCGTCGACATCTTCCGCATACTGGAGAAGCGGTTCGAAGTGTCTCAACGCATCTTCTTTCATGCCCATTTTCATGCGGAACAGGCCCATGCGCACGCGGATGTCGATGGGCAGGCCATCTCCATACTGAGCTCTGTCGCGACTAGCCTTGCCTTGCTGAAATTCTCCCACGTATCCTCTCCGGTCGTTTTCGCTGTCCCATTCTCGATCGTCTTCGTCGTATCTGTCCCAGAAGGTCTCATCTTTTCGACCAATGAACCATCGTGCACATCTCTTAGCCTTTTCGAGCCCGTCTGCTGGGTCACCACAATGGTAGAGCAATTCAAGGTAGATATTCAGATGGTCCCACGGGTCATTCTCATCCTCCTCGTCGCCAAATACATCACTGTCCTTGTATATATCGAAGCAGGTTTCGTAGGCATCCAGTGACTTTTCAAGCWCACCACTGTCCTGCAAGCCCGCCGTGAGTTGTGCGTATTCTTTGACGTACTGTGACTTTCCCGGCCACTGCTTGAGGATGTTCTTGCAGTCGAGACGAGCAAATTTAATGTTCTTCGTTTCCAGATAGAGGTTGAGCTTTGCGACTCGGAGCTCGTACTCGACGTTGATATCCTTACAAATCTTGATGGCCTCGCCGTAGCATTCAATTGCAGTCTTGATACGCTGAGGCGAGCGATCTTCATCGTCGACCTCGAGCGTCTTCTCGGCAACGAGTCGCCACACGTCAGAATTTCGAATGGTGATGGCACCAAACCACAGCGCTTGAACAGAGTCTTCTTCATGACCCTGGGCTTTTAAGATTTCCGAAAGAAGCGAATGAGCCTGAAAGACCTCGGGATTGGCTTTGACGGCTTGTCGAGCAAAGTCAGCGGCAGTCTCCAGGTCACCATCGAAGAAGGCCTTGCTGGCTTTCGCAACACATTCCTTGAAGTCCCGTCCAGGATCAGCCGCCTTTTTTCTGCTGCTACGACTTCCACCACGACCTCGCCCTCGAGGCTTATCTTCCCTTGAAGTTCCAATATGCTCATGCTCGGTTCCTTTCAGCAGTTGCTTCCAGCCGCGCTTGATTTTACCGCCGCGAGGACCTCGCTTGGGTGCAGAATCACTGGCTTTGCGTGGATTCGTAGAATATTGGATCTCCTGGTCGCTGAGAAGTGCACTAACCTGATCGGCGTCCCTTGGATCAAACCCAGCATCAGAGTAGAAGCCATTGCTCCCATGTCGGCCATTCGAGTGCGATGAACGAGTGTATTGGGGATTTCCCGGGGAAGGCCCTCCCCATCCACCCAGTGGAGACGTGGAAGGATTGAATTGAGGTCTATCTGCGGAATTGAAAGCATCAAAATCCATCATGTGATGAAGCGATGAGGCCGCCCCAGGAACAGCTCCCCAAATGGCGTTGTCATATCGCTGAGTCGCTGTAGACTGTCGCGCGCGTGGTGTCGTCGGCGCATCCGGCATGGTATATCCAGAATTGCCTCGAGATCCTGGAAAGAGACCATAGGGACTAGCGTAGGGCTGCTCAGAGCTCGAAGGACTGGTGTGTGCGCCATAGCGCTGGTGAAGGGCGGGATATGCCGGGTTGGTGGGTCGAACAGGCTCCGGATAGTTGGAGTGGCTGCCATTTGATGGGCTGCCGGGAGTTGGCTCCTGCGCCGCGTCCTCGTCGGTCATGATTGAGAATTTCTGGCGCACAGACGCGTCGCAGTGAGACGAGCTCTTCGTAGTATCATCTGGACAATGGATCTTCCATGGATGTGAAGGTTGGGAATCTCGAAAGTGGCGTTAGTCTCGATGCCTCAGATTCGCCTTTGGACTGTACAGCGGTATGCGAGATTGACGGAGAATTGATGAACCTCGTCTGGCAGTCAAAAGGCAGCACAGTAAGCGAATTTGCAGTTTGAAATGAAGTGGTCGAGATCGAGGTCGTGAAGGCGGAGTCGAAATCACGGGCACTAGCGCCTGCAGGTGGTCAAATAAAGTTTCGGCAGACGTGCCGAGCGTAAAGATCCAGTTTAGGTAAGCAGGACTCTCACTGAGGGATGGGAAAGAGATCACTACCTTACCGTGGCCAGGTGATCCGTCTTCAACCAACTACATGTAATTCAATACAATTTTACGGTCTCTTCAAGTGCAATGTAATTATAGCTTCGATGCAGTATCGAAATGAGACCGCTATACAGCCTTCCCTCTCAAAAGCTGTGTTAACTTCCAAAGAACATCCTCATCCTTCCTCTCCATTGGGCAAACAGCATACAATCTCCTCCGCAGGCCACAAGTTCCCCACCAATTGCCTAGCGTTAACCCAGGAATCCTCATCCCAATATCCGTCCGAACTACACACATCAGCCTCTCCTTGCACCTCTTATATCATGACGACACATACCTAACGTTGATTGCATCTCCAGCCAATATACTCGCCCGCAGTAAGATAGCCGCCACAACAACATCATACTCCTTCCTTAGAGTTTTACAACAGTCGAAATCCGTCTTGCGAGGTTCGAGGATGAAGGACTCGTGGCTATGTTCGTAACCATTCAGATGAATGCCTTGGAGGTTGATCCGTGGAGGTGTATCGTCGCCTTCCATGTCTCGGGTGAGGGGCACCCCGGCGGCTTGAACGATGAGATGGGTGTCACGGACGAGCTGAGGCCAGGTTTGGCGCCAGCGGGCGGTGTCAGGGATCCTCCAGTAGTGCGTGTAGCCCATCGTGATGGAACGGGCTTGATTTGAGTTGTTTGAGTGGGAGTGGGGTGTCTGTGGAATTTAGAAGGTAGTGGAGATGAATGCGACTTACTGCTGAGCCGGATGCTTGGTCTTATGTATCGTCGTCGAGCGAGCCATTCCCTCAAAGTGAGCGATGCTGCTGCCTCTTCAAACACGCAAGGGTTGAAGGAGTCCTCAAAGTGAGCGATGCTGCTGCCTCTTTGAACACGCAAGGGGTGAAGACGTCGAGGCAGAAGTCTACAAAATTTGGTTGCTTGCCTGGCATACAGCTGCAATGCAATGTTGTACAGTGTATTGGTATGGTACAGTTATGATACATCGCTGTCGTGATCTGTGGGTCCTTTACTTCATTGCGATCCTTGGTCGGGAGGGTTGGCGACCATATTGCGGCGCTGTCGTTTCGCATCTGCCATGGAGCAGCGCCGAACCTGTGAGATATTCGCAGCGCTTCGTGGGCTTGTATTGCTGAAGATTTCTCTCTTTCGCGCGACTCGGGAGTGGAGTGTCTCGTCTTCGCCAAGGCATTCGCCTCTCGACCCTTCTTCATCGTGTTTCCCACGAAGAGCCTCAAAATGCCTTTGTACCTTCTGCACTCAGCTTCTTGATCGTTGCGTCTCTTTGATGCTCCATGACCTTTCTCTTCTTGAAATATGTGACCTGTTCCGCCATCAGCAATCCACTCCATCTCATCTCATCCCCAATTCGGAAACCTACCCAACTGCTTGCGCACGCTGCCTCAAACTCCTTCAGCTCCGGTGCACAAAGCTTCCTTGCCTTTTCATCCTCTTTCACACTGTCCACAATCCCATTCTTATCCAGACATTTGAAGAAAGAGTCTCGTCCTTCCCAACATTGTGCGCGGGCGGTGCGATCTGGAGCAATGTATCCACCGTCTTTGGAGGGTTCCGGGGAGGCGAGCGTATTCTGCGGGGAAGAAGAGAACCAGCCCATGTCGTAAGTGTATGAAGTTCACAAGGGACAGGACGTTCAATACGAAATCGCAAGAATGTTTGGTTCAATGAACTTCAATCGWTCATGCGTAATGGAGTTTGGCTTTCAGAAGACGGCGATCTGGGGAGAGCGCCGCGGGTGCAAAAGTCGTGGACGTTTCTACTCGGCGTGGTCAATCAAGATGGCAATCATGGATGGTTACCTTGTTGCTTCATCTCACCCTCGAGGCGGGAGAATGGGACATGGCAGCACATGGGGGCATTGATGAGGCGACATTCCGAACAAGGCACGCCGCAGACCATTCATCATGATTCATGCAGCCGTGCGGGCAATGGCATCCTCTCTGCTCTCTGCTCATTTGCGAGGTCGGGCAGCGGAACCTTGTTCGTCGGCATGCTCGCTCGCTACTCATCTTGGAGGAAAGCTCACCAATCGCCAATCACTGCATCCGAGACCAGGGAATGTCAGAGTGTCAGACGGACGGTGCTTACGCGGAGAAAGGGCATCTCTGACAAGTCTGTCACCAACAGATACGGAGCGGGTCTGGCGGCGGGACTGTGTCCAATTTGTAACACTAATCCGGGCGTACCTGAAGTAACCTTCGCTCGCGCCATGGCATGCCTCTTGCTCGGCTTCGCCATGAGGATGACATGTCCTGGGGTAACTTGGAGGTACGGTACAGTAGAGCAATTCAACACAGACAGCGGGAGACCGTGGTACCACCATGAGGCAACTGGTGGCTGTGGTCCAGCAGGGTTTTGCCATGAATTGGGTGATGTACAACGGGTCTTGTGTGTGTGTTTGTAAATTGTAATAATGCTCCATTTCAAGCCGGCTCGCTCGCTCGAATAGATGGATCACTCTGCAAGAAGAGCGCACGGGCCGTGGAGGGTTAGTCGGGAATGTATGTAGCTCGCGGCGGTCTGGGTTCTTGTCCACGTTCTCTCCGCTCCCTCCCTCCTTCCCTCTTTTCTCACCCCTCCGACTGCTATGTGACTCCTCTCATCGTTGCAAGCAGACGACCTGCGAGAAGATGCACCGTGGCCGTGGAGCGGACATGGCCAACGCAAGCCCATGCGGTTGGCCGTGGAGGGATTAGGTAACTAGCGCCTCAGGCAGCAACGGAGCGAGACATGTCTCCGCAGAGGAAACGCAGCGCAGCGCAGCTCGCCACCACAGCAGAGGCCCTCCACCGCGAACGAACGCGTAACTAACTCATCGCCCATCTACAATTTAATCTCATCTCGCAAATCCGCCGGCAACGCAGACGACGCGTGCGACCAATAGAAGTCTGTTGTGCCAGACACTGAGGTGAGCCCATCCACACCCGTCCACCCCATCCCATCCCATCCCATCACGGCATCATCATCATCACTCCCAAACGACACGTGCTGGGGTCGGCCGCGCGCACGCACGCACGCACATGTATGTTTGCTTGCTTGCTTGCGCCTCTCCTCTCTTCTCCTCTGCGGGGCCGAGCACTTTCACACGCTTGTGCTCGCTCGCGTCGGAGTTGCGATTGCGATTGCGCTGCGCTGGCCTGCATACCGCCGACGCACAAACGCTTGCCGAGCAGCCAGCAGAGACGCGTGCTGCGTCGCGCCTTTGTTGTCCCAATATCGCCCTCCACACCGCGCTGCCTCTCCCCTTGTGTGTCCACCCCTCGCTTCTACTGCTCATCCACCGCTGCTGTCCATGTCTACTTCCCCGCCTACCAATCACTGTCCTCTCCTCCCTCCCACTCTCCCCCTCTCCCTCCCCTCCACCCATCCCTGCCATACCATCGCGTCCATCCTTCAATCCCACCTAATTCATGCTGACCATGTCGCTGCTAGCACAACTACCTACCGGATGCGAACATGGACCAAGGATGGGCCAATGGACAGGCGAACATGTACCAGGGCGCCGGCGCGCACATGAATCCACAGGCCATGTTCAACAACCCTAACTTCGACATCAACCAATTCGCCCAGAGCCAGCAGCAACATCAGCAGCAGCAGCAGCAGCAACAGCAGCAACATAATGGCACACCCACTCCCCAGCAGCAACAGTTCCCGGGCCAGGCATTCAACCCCGGCTCGGTGGTGCCCGCGAAACGACCTCACGATGGCATGTCGGGCTCCCCTCAGCAGCCCCAGGTCTCGCGTTCCCAGACTCCCAACTACGGCGCCGCTGGCTTTCCCAATCCACAGCAATTCGCCAACGCGCCCACGCCTTTTCAGCACCTCCAACAACAACCCGGGTCCAACAATGCCACACCCTCGCCGACCATCCAGAATCAGCAGTTTCGACCGCCGCAGCAACCGCGCATGAACCCTTCTCCCGCGCCTTTTCAGCAAGGGCAGCAGCAACAGTCGCAGCAGCCCAACTTTGGGAACCAAATGTCCCCCGGGACGCCGCAGACCTCGAGACCGACGGGCGGCATGTCGCAGCCAGGACAGATGGGTCAATTCGGCCAGCAATTTGCAGGGAACCCGAGCATGATGGCGGGAATGCAGAATAACATGGCTGCGCAGATGCGCAATCTCAATGCTGGTATGCAGCCTAACGCGCAACAGCAGGCCTACCAGTTGAAGTTGATGCAGCACCAGCATCAGTTGCGTCAGACGGGAATGATTCCGCCAGGATCTTCGGGCGGACAACCGGGGCAGGGGAACAACATGGGCGGTGCTGGTGCTGGAGGGCAGCCACCGTCTGCTGGGCAAATGCCCAATGGACAAACCGCGAATATGGCTCAGGTCCAGGCACAGGCACAACAAATGCAGCTCCACAATGAGAAACGCAAGTCTTTCCTCAAACAGCTGCAGGGTTACGCCCAACAGGCTGGTCGCCCTTTCAACCCCACGCCGGCCATCGGTGGCAAGGTCCTCGATCTCTATGCGCTCTTCACCATCGTTGCAAGTGCCAATGGCTCGAGCAGTGTGGATCGCAATGGACAATGGCAGCAAGTGGCTACCAAGTTGGGGTTCATGCAGCCTGCTTTTCCTACAGCTCCAGAAGAGATCAAGGAGATCTTCATGACGGTCATTGGCGCATACGAGCGTGTGTGGTTCAATGTCAGGATGCAACAAAAACAGGATCAAGCTCGTGCACACGCGCAACAGATGGCTGGATTCGGCGGAGGCCAACAATCGCCGACCAAAGCAATGCCTCCCTCCAGCGGACTCAATCAATACCAGCAGCATCTCCAGCAGATGCAACAAAGCCAGCAGCAGCCTCCACAAAGCACACCCGTGCAGGCAAATGCATCCTTGCCGCAGAATGGGATGACGACGCCGCAACAATTGATGGGCCCCGGTGCAGGACTGCATCATCGGAGGAGCAGTAGCATGATGCGCAAGCCTGAGCAAGCCACGCCACAACCCGGTCCGCCGTCCGTTGCCGTCGCATCTCCTCTGGTTGAAAAGCAGATACGGCCTCCGTCTGTCAAGCAAGAAAGTAGCAATGCGGTGATGAAGAGCGATGAGCCACAGAGCACCAATTACGTCCCTCAAACACGCACAAYAGAGACAATGGGCGGCTACGACCTCGCAGCCCTCTCCGAACTAAGCTCTGCGATTGAAAGAGCAATACCAAACATGCCTAATGTCGATGAGATGGGAGTCATCGACACAAAGTGTATCACCTTGAGCTTGGCATCGGGTATTCACAGCGAGGTCCGATATGCCCTGGACAGCCTGGTGATTCTCACATATGACACGCGAGTCTCTCTCAATGTGGAGCAGTGTGAGGATCTTCTCGATGTTCTCGTTGACTGCGCCGAGGATCAGACCGAAGCTCTTTCCGAAGATGCCGCAGAGGTTTCCGACGCGCTAGATCTAGCATCGTATGAAGATGTCCTGCGAGGTGGTAGAGTGGAAGCAGACACTCTGCAAGAAATCTCCGCGGTTGGCACACAAGCTTATGATTTGGATCGCGCTGCCGACAAGGTGATCGCCATCACGACCATCATGCGAAATTTGTCCTTTTACGAATTCAACCACAGACTGCTTACTTCACCGCCTGCAATCAAATGGCTTAGCAACACGATACGACTCATGGGAACACGGCACTTGCTTCTACGAACATGGCACAACACGCAGGACTTCTACAAGGACGTTGTAATCTTACTGTCAAACATCTCTCAGAATCTGGAGTTGCCATCGAGGGATGATGCGCTGCATGTCCTGCATTTCTTACTCGCGTTTGCACCTCAGCCGGCGCCGAGCTATACCGAAGGAGCCGGCACAGTACGGTTCACGAGCTATGTTCCCTCGCTTCACCGTTACCTCCCTCCAGCTGTGGACTCCATGGCCAAGCTCCTCGCTCGGCAAGATCCAAACCGCATGCTGTACAGAAGCATCTTCGCAGCATCTCCCTCATCGGTAGCTACTTCGGAATCTCCGCTCGATCTCCTCACTCGAGCTTTCGCACTTGCCATTTCYGTTCTTCCCGACCGAACCAAAGGCTCGCTTGGCAACAACACTCAACTCCGAATCGTGGAGGCGAGAAAAGCTCATTTAAGCCAAGGCATGCTTGCCGCTGATATTCTCACGACACTCCTGCCTAGCAGCGATACCGGTCTAGCCCGCGCTTGGATTGAAAGCGAAGATGGATGGGCGGTGGGYTTGCTGAATCTGGCCGCGCTGCTTTCTGTGGACCGCAATCAGAGCTCGGCTGGAGGACAGAAAGGTGGAAGGGAGGTGGGCATGGATACCGAGAGTTTCAGACTCATCACGCACCGCGCGTTGACGATGATGAAGAGGTTAGCGGAGAAGGCTGGCAAGGGCAGCCTGACTGCGTTACAGTCAACGAAGAATAGTGCCTCTCATGCGAACGGAGAGGTCCAGTTCGGCGATGAAGCAGATGCAAACCAGCCCAGATGGGAGGGCATACCGCAAGGTCACGCAATTTTGGGTGCGTTGATGATGCCCAATACCGATAAGGTCGCCCTTGGGTTGCTCTGTGGACTGCATGAGATGAGTATGGGATAGGCATTGACGCGTAYGTTTGAAGAATAGGTGAAGATCTCTTCGGCTTTGGGCTGAAGCGGTTTAGTGTATCAAGTACAGAGCCGTTTGTATATTCAGTGTGGAAACGAAGCGTATTCATCGCAATGCGGTCGCAAAAGTGTCGATGCCAGGGCGTCAGTGATGTGATGGCGCAGGTCATATTGTGTGGTCCAGCGAGTGAGGCTGTATCCTTCCGTTGGCTCTTTGCTTCCGAATGGAGTCTGGTGCTTCGCGTGGAGATATTGATGCACTATTCAAGTAGGTATCGGCTTTTTCTGTCACGGGACACCACGACTGAGATTTTGCGGAGATCTATGAGGATTATTGTGGTTGTTGTGTGAGTTGATAGTGCAGGGATGACATAGGCGCAGGAAGCTAGCTGGAAGTTTAAAGAAGTGAATCTTGATTTCGCTTGTGCCTTGGCCTTGGCTTTTGTGGTTGAGATGTCACGGAGTAAATAATTTCTCGGAGCTATCCAAACTCGTGTATTACGTTGTCCCAATCACTTTGAGATTGCGTGTTTCGCTGGAGAGGGCTGAGATTCATTTCTCAAAATGAGTTGAAGCATGCAAGGCGCACATGAGAATGTACGGCGTATAACTCGACTATAGACGTCGGTTATCTCACAGCAGACTTATAGGCTGTCAAGAGTGAGTAATATGCTGCAAGACTTAGTAGATGGGTTGTTAGGCGAAAGAGAGTCGAAAATATCAACCAGGCCAAAAGTACACCACGTGCCAAGGTGTAGCAAACATTGTCACGAGATATGCTGGGCTCAGAGAGGAGAAGGAGAAAAACTACATGCGGATGGCGACACGCGACTACGAGCAATGATATACGAGCATCATGTCAATACTTGCACCGAGCAGGGTGTGAGATGAGGTGCTCCGCAGTGCGTCGATTTTATAGCACAGGTTAGGGAGAGTCTGGGAGAGTGGCGCAAATCATAACTGCTCAATCCATGGTTCAGTATAAAGAATCCCATGCCGGTTGGATTACGCAGGTGGATTGTGTACTATAGAGAAAGTCATCGGTTTCTCTTTGAGCAATATTCCCGAGAGGTTGGCCGAATGTTGGCGCTCAGGGTGTGCAGACACTTGCTCCTAATCGAGATTATCGAGATGGTCGGAGGGCACAATCAACATGGAAGGATGCTACTTGTTCGAAGTCTCCAGAACACATTTGCGATTTTATGACCTGAATAATCGACTCTCATGGAGAATTTCAGATCTCAAAATCATGCAATCGTCTTCCCTTTCTAAATCACTTGAGACAATTTTGGTCCACATAGGATGAGGCCTAGTGGCCCGCCTTTCTCAACAATGTTTCTGGTTGCATGCTCTCGTGGTAGTCACTATTGAACAGGCTGCTAGAAGCCCCCTGAAAAGCAGAGTTACCTACGATCAAAACAGGAATAAAAGATTGCTCTTCTGAAGTATGAGGACGGCGTCCATCTACGTTGCGGACTCCCACTGTTATCATGTTCACATAGGGGTGTGATCGGAGCATCCGGTCCCTCTAGTCAGTCTTTCGAAGAGAAGGCCCTCCGAGCAATCGCTGTAGTGAGAAATAATAGTCCCCCTGTTTGCTGGCGAAGCTTCGTCTGAGGTAGGARATACTTCAAAAAATGGTGCTGAAATATGAGACGATCCTTTGACAGAAATGACTAATATTGCGAATCTTCCGATATAAATTGCTCTTCACTCAAGCATCAGATGTAACTTTCGCACTCTGTGATTACACACCTCAGAGGATACTCCCCTACTACCGTTGATTGACAAGTCGCTGGAGTCCTTCCCAATAGTAGAGCTACAGCCCGAGACAGGGGAGCCTTCATTTGACGATGTACAACCTGCGAACCTATCGACGTTCTCTAACTACCAGAATCTCGTGACAAGTGGCGGAGATTAGGATATTTCTCAGCTACTGTAGACAGATGATAAAATAGATCTTTGACATTCCCATGAAAGCCCATCGAGTTGAACAGCTCTTTACCTAGTCTAACACTCCCAATGGCAGTCCATCGCTCGCCTGGTCCCATCCCATTTTCCCAATTTACAGTATGGTAAGCTGAAAGGTCCCTTGTCCTGTGGCCGCGAAACCCAATCTGTGTCACCCGCATGGACAGAAAGACTCCAACTGGCAAACTCTGGATATACCAGCACATTGGGAGAGGTCAAGTTCGTGAGATTGCCGCCAGTGGTTGCCCAATGATCGACGATCGATGGTTTTTCGACGTCCGATGGTTCGACGTTGAAATGTAGACCAATCACGAACGGGAAGCCAGTATCGCAGCGGTCGAGAAAGGTCCACAAGTCCAAAGAGGCGGGTGCCGTCTCTTTCTCACGGTCCGGGGCATCTGGAGGAACGTCGCTGCCATCCCATGCCGAGTAGAAGAGTTGATGATTAACGATGCCTCCTAGCCAAGAAACCGATTGGGTCATGTTCAAGGTGCAGATTCCGGGTCTGAAAGGCGTGTTGATCGTCGGGGTACAACTTGGACCCAATGCAAATACCGTGGCCGTCACGGTCGGACCTCCAAGTCTCTTGTTGCAAAGAATCGTCTCCCATTGATCCAAGGCAGTGACTGTGAAGGGAGTCGCCTTCTGACCATCGTTGCAAGCACAAACGTTGACTTGACTGGGTTCCGATCTCACAGTACCATCGACTGTACTCGAGTATGTCAATGTATGCTGATTCAAGCTGCAGCTTGTGATGTCGGGCGCCTCAGGTCTAGGTGTCGGAGATGGGATGGTAGATATCGTAACAATGGGGTCTCCCTCCTTGTAACAGATGACATCTTTAGCGCCGCTTGCTGCGGTTGTGGTATATGGCCATCCACTCTGATTGTCGTTGCAAACACAATTGGTATAGGTTTTGGCGGTGCCTGATACCGGAGATGTGAAAGATGCCACGCTGCATGATGTGATTTTGGGCGTCTGCGTCAGGCGTGGTATTGCCGTGGTAGCCTTGGATGAGGAAGATGAAGGAGTGGGCTTGCAAGRGCCGTTGGCAATGTCCCTCTCGACCATGGCATCTGGATCCACGGGGATCCATTGCTTCTCAAAGGCGACCCAAGTGTCCATGTGGAGAGCTTCCCACTCGTCGTCCAGACTAGCTGGCTCGGGCCAGGCATACGTCCGCACTTCATAGTGGGCTTTCTGATCTCCGCAACCTGCTTCGCCAATTGAGGGATAGTACGACACGATGACTTTCCCCAGCCCAGTGTTTTGCAAATTCCACCGCAGTTGACCCTCATTCCAACGACCAGGGTTCTTTCGGTATGGAGCGACGATTGGTATGACGGGGAACGCTGCTTCCAAGGAGCGTCCAATGTTCATCACCTCGTTGGGATATAGCCACTGTGTTCTGTCAGGATGGCCGGTCTGACTGTCTTCTGGTCTGATATGTTCCCAGCCTTCCGTGTTGGCTGGAGTGACGATGAAGGTTGCCAGCTCGTTCACAACACCGTCCTCTTCATCGTTGACAAAGAGATTCCCAGGGCCACGGGAGAATTGATCCAGGCCCGGAAACTCGCCAGAGTCGTCTCCTCTATACAACTAGTGCGAGTTAGCAAGTTTTTCCTGGAAGTCTTCTTGAATTCTCTTGGTCTACCGCCGTAGACGTGGAGAGGTGAGTACTTACCCCATACGTAACGTCAGTATCCCACATTTCTTGGATTCCCACATTGAATGTCGGCTGCTCCCAAATATGCGACATCCAGACACCCCGACGAGATACGACAATGACTGAAGTGCATCCTCGCAGGCCCTTTACACCCATGTTGAAAGATTTGTCCTCGAAAGCTCGTACTCTCGACGAGGACCGTCCGTCTCTTCTCCAACGATCACTTTTATACTCCCTCTGGTGACCTTCGCCTTCTCGGAGTTCGACTTCGGGGTCGACCTGACTCCATKCCCAAAGCCAGGTATCATCGTACTTGGCACTTGTAACCTTTTGATGAAATTCGATCGAAGAACCATTACCGAAAGAATCATTACCAAAAGCCACGCGATCGTCAGTTTTGAGGATTTTTGAATTTCCGAAGTTCTGCTCGAGAGTGGTCTCCGTAGCAGGAGCAGCGCCTGAGGTGAATGAAGCCATAAGGAATCCGCTAGTGCCATTCGGGCTGTTGGCATTGCAGACGTTGTTGGCACAAACATTAGCGTCACACTCTGCAGTAATGGTCGCCGTAGTTGCGGTCGTGGTGGTCCGATCGGAGACGTCGCAGCCAGTGACTGTGGTAGTAGAGGTCCCTCCGCATAGGGCAGTGGTGATAGCCCCACCCACCCCGACAATAGGGGTACAGGTTACTGCCACGTGATATGCTGTGGAAGGCTGATTACAGGATGTGGGCTCAGGGATGTCGGTCTGCCGGGCCGCCATATTCTTGGTAATGCGGTCAGAGTCTGCGGGCATTCTGTATCCAGGGCTAGGGTTCATGTGAAGAAGAGCCTGGGTGGCAGCGCTCAAGAGCGCTGCCAGGAAGATGTTGGAGAGTTGCATGTTGAATCTATCAAGGGCGATGTAGATGATGGTGTAAGAGGAATCGAAGATGTTGATGTGGTTGAGGTGGAGTTGTGTTGTGGTCGAGATGGTTGTTGTAATGGAAGAGGTGGAAGCTGAGGAGAAGGAGGGTACTTATACTGCATTCAGAGCATGTGAAATGGCGGGCAGGGCTGTCTTCAATTTCATATGATCGGACGGGGTGGTAGGCTCGTGTTATGGAGGTGGTCGAAGATACTGTAGTGTGTGAGTCGAATATAATAACATGTGATCTTGTGGTGGGCGTTGAGGTTGAGAAGGGGGTATGTGGACCCTGTCACAATACTTGAGAGACGATGCGAGCCTTTCTTCACATGCACAGTCACATTCGGCCAGCAGCTATGGATGAGTGTTGGTGTAAGAAAGACATTTTATAATGGAACAATGTATTCTGGTAATCAGTGTCTGTGTTGCGGYAACTTTTGAACGAGAGCTTTTGGCAAGGAGGGGCGTTGTTGTGGAGTCTGAAACTATTGTACCGTTCTGGAAGAGATGTTGTTGTAGTCTAGATGAGAGACTTGATTGTCGAGACAGATCGTGTTCTTATCAGATTTCGTTTCCAATGGGAATTTTATCATAAAGGGGCCGGGGATGGCATGGGTTGGACTGAAAGACAGGAAGCCGTCCCCAAAGCTTCAAGCACGTCTTGGGGAGCTGGATGCCGGTCGGACAACGATAGCTGAAGGCTAGCAAATGGCAAACTGATTGTCCTTGGTCAAAGATGGACCTTGTGCATGAACAGTATGGAGAGAGTGGAAAGCCTTTCATATTGCCTGGACTTGAGTAGAGTAATGCTGTCTTGCCTCGACATCTCACCAGCTGGACGATACGGCAACCGGATTCTCTACTCAGTGGCATCACGCCGATGACTGGTACATTGGGCGCAGAGTACCTCGTTCAGGTATGTATGAGGGTTGACTACTGGAGTGGCCGTAGTTTGATGATCTCGAAGCTCCGGGAAGTCGAGAAGCTGTTTGCTGCCATTGCAGTCCGGTCGGGCAATATTGAGCAGGCTTGTAATTATGCATAGATATGCCCCGGCGTGGAATATGTCCTTGACTTCACGATGTCGTGATCTCACATGCCACCTTGTGAAGCTGATACGAGAGGTCTAGGATGAGGTTGACGCTGCCTTCGACGCACAACTCCGACATCAGATCGATGAAGAATGGATGKAAGTCTATCTCCAGCCGATAATCGAAGGTGTTGTCTTCAACAAATCCAACCATGGCTTCGTTGGGTTCCCGCTTTGTCGAAACGAGCAATTTCTTTTTAGAGCACTGGATCACGGCCTTTAGCATTGACATCTGTTGCAGGTTTCTGATTCCAGGTCCTGCAAAAGCTCTTCTCATGCCAGTCATTGCAGTCTCAGTCAGACTGTTGAGCTGTCGGGCTGCGTCCTATCTGTGATGTTGCCGCRGTTTGTGATGATGCGCAGCTGACAATTTTTTGAGTGTTAGGGGCTCCTTTGCAGTGATTATGAAACTGATGCTCACAATACGATCCTGCTCTTGCATACACCGTGCGGTCGTACAAAAAAAAGCCTTGATGGTGCAATGGACAAATTCCCGAGCTTGTTGTCGCCGATGGCTATCCAAAGTTGCCGTTGTTCGTCTGGGGTCGCAACTTGAACGATGGCGTCTGCTGTCGTGGTTGCCTCGGGCAGCAATGTGCCGGCTGATCCAGTCCTTGCCCATCGCTCTGTCTTCTTCGAAGCTGCCTCGTCACATAGACCTTCAACCTTGGCGCTATGTGTCCATGAGGTGCAATCATGCTTCCCTTATGCTATCGGGCCTGTGAGTCTCCTCCTGAAATCCGTCACAATCCCCCAATTCGAAACTCTCAAGTCTCAAGCTCCCGGGGTTGAATCCTGTGTGGCATCCAGAGCGCGAGATGTGCCGCGAGTATTGAAGCAAGGTCAGGGAGCTCGATGTCAGAGACCACAGTCAGAGAGAACTTACACCCATCGACAATGATCTCGTTGCTGGAAGGCACTGACTGGCTGGTCTGCTCCCAGGACGGAATTCATGTTTCAGAGCGTGTTCATCTTCTTCACCTGTACAACATCACCCGTTCCTACAGTCAGAGTGCCTCCAAGAAACTCAACAAGCATCGCTTCCACGTGCTGGTCCATCAAGGTGTCTATATATCTCTGGGCGCCAATGATGCGAACTTCCTTGGCAGTCAGTACCCGCAAAATCGACCACCTTTCTCGGTTCCCTCACCAGAAAAGGCATTTTCTTCACTCCTTCTCCTTGGCCAGTCAGAATCAGGAGATCTGATTGGGCGGCACTGTCGTGCCCAGCATGAGGCTTCTGCCGAGAGGCGGATGTTCATTTATTCAACTCGCAGCAAGGGCTGGAACTCCTTCTCTACACTCCTTCTCCCCTTCGACTAACGCTGATAAAATCATTGAGAAAGCTTGTAAGCAATCATGCCGTCAGTTCAGACTCTTTCACTTGCAGCTCTTGTCTGCGTTGCTGCGGCTCAGGATGCATCTTCTTCTTCTTCCTCTACTACTTCAGCACCGGCTTCAATGGCGACTGGGGTTGTGATGCTGCCAGCTGACGTCGAGAACTGTCACGCACATGGTACCGAATACTTCTGCTTCGCTGGGGAGCAAGAATGGGAGATTACAAGCGAGAATGCTGCCGACTACAACGAGCAGGATTTGACAAGCTGTACGGCTGGGACTGCAGAGGACGAGATGTAAGTTCGACTTGCTCGGGTTCGTCAGTCAACGGAGATGAATTGAAACGCTGACGAGAATCTTGAACAGCTCGTGCGAGGCACCAAATGGCTCCGACGTTACGCTTGTCCGCGAAGTCACTGGAGAAGATCACGACGAAGACCACGCTGAGAGTACCCACGATCAGAGTTCCGCAGTTGCCGTTCCGACCGAGCTGAAGAACTGCCATGCTCACGAAGATGGTATCTACTGCTTCGCTGGCGAGGACGAATGGGAGATCACCAGCGAGAATGCCGCCGAATTCGATGGCCAGAATCTATCTGACTGCGAGCCTGACGCCACAGGAAACTCGACAATGTAAGTTGACCTTTCCGCGTGGTACGGATATATTATTATGTTGACAAGGAATGCAGTTYTTGTAATGCGGTTGACGGTACTGAAGTCACTCTCGCTGCTCATGACCACAGTGAAGAGGAACACGGCAACGATGCTGCAGCTGGAAGCAACAGTACGACTGAGACCCAGAACTCCACGACCATGGAAGAGGAGAGTGGAGGTGAAGAGGGAGCCGGCAGTACTCTGCTGGCTTCGGTTGGATTTTCCATGGTCGGGCTTGTTCTTACTATCTTCTTGTTGTAGTACATACCATACAGAAGCGATCTTGTTTGATCGAGCAGATATAGTACGGGAACAGCATCACGGCCTTTGAACTGGAAGCACTCCCTGCTGGAATCAAAGCGTTCAATCTCACAACACGCTTGCGTACTTATTTGATCATCGAGCTCCGCCGAAAAAAAAAAAAAAGAGATTGAATGACATCGTACACCATACCCGTGGAGACATCTATATGCCCTTCGAAAGCGGACTTCTGGATGTCTGGCCAGGCAGCTGAGATGCATGTGATAGCTTGGCATTGGTAATCGCAAACATGCCCTCTGAGGTTTCGTCATCCGGAAGCGGATACGACAGTCGGACCAGATCATGGATTGATTAAGAGACAATTTCGGCTTCGCAAGATTTCTTAAGATAGATACAACGGTACATGTAAGTTCCCAAGCRCAGATATCATCATCAAGGGTATGTATGAATGAGAGGGATGAATTCYGCCCTCGAGAAGACTAGCTGGGAGCTGCCTATATGATGGAATCTAGAGAGCCGGCTTATACCGCGCACTTTCGGGCCCACATTCACCGGCATGTGTGGAGATCGTCTACTCAATTGAGAAATAGATCGACAAAGTGGTAGAGTTAGTTTCGATCGGATGCCTTGGAACCCGTGTACCGTGAGCGATTCGACTACTATGGACATATCCGTAGAAGTGTCGGCAAAAGTGGAGGAGAGGTGTGTCGGTAAAGGTGGAGGAAAGGGTTTCCGAGTCCGGAAATGGTCCGCACTTCACACCCTTCCTAGGTAGCATCTAACATTTGATTTGAACCTTGAAAGGGAGGCCTTTCTTCGGTTTCCRCGGGCTTTTGAATTTCATGGGAGAGCCTTGATTTCTGCGCTCTATCGGATCAAATATCAAGGTCATGGGCACTCGATAGTGATGATGTGGAATGGAATTCCAATAACCGAAGATCCGGGAAAAGGGAACTTTGAAATCTTGTGGCATGTCTATATACTCTATAGTATGTACCCAGGTGAATGTCTCTCGTATACCCTACTCTGTGCAGAAGTACTCTGTTGTACCTATCTTACCCCCTACCAACGACCAACGACCTGGTAATAACGGCACCCGACATCTTACCTCATCCCCACCATCACCATCATGCTTCAGTACGCAATCGATCACGCACCTCAAGATATACGCCACTATGCACTCGTAGCATTCGTGCTGCTTGCTGCTGGACTGATCACCTCAGCGACCTACAACATGTATTTCCACCCATTGGCCCGCTTTCAAGGACGTCCAGTAGCGGCATTGACCAACCTATGGTCGTATCGTCAAGACATAACCAGGAAGCCCGAACACATCTTCTAGAAGCTGCACAAAGAGTACCCGACTCATCCATCTTACGCATTGGGCCCAACGAACTTCACATCAACGACCCCGAAATCTAAAATGAGATTTACACCCAGGCATCCCATTTTCTCAAGGTGCCTTGGTATACTGCCGGTTTCAATGCCCCTGGCTCTGTCTTCCGCCGAGTGCGATCCGGCATTGCATAGACATAGACGAAAGTTGCTGCAGAGTAACTTCTCCCCTCAGACAATTCGAAAGTCTGTCGTTCCGATCTACAGAAAGGTCGTGGCGCTGAGCGATGCCATTGCACGTCTGGGAGCGAGCAAGTCCGTCAGCATACATAATGCTTTACGGTGAGTAGCTAGCTGGTCGCGGGGAGACAACGCCGATGCTCTTTTGCGCGTGTGATTGCTGATGAGTCCAAGGTGTGCAACGGGAGATGTGATCTCCGAGTACGCCTTCGGCACTGCTTTTGACCTCATCCAGGATGCCAAAGATTCTGATTTCGACATTCCGTTCTTGAAAGCCTTTGATCTTTCCCTGGCAAGTTACATCCACATGACTTTCTGGCCACTGCTGTGCACCATTATCAACAGCATGCCAAACAAAATTATTTCACTCCTTAGCGAGGGAGCAGCCGGCTTCAAGCGGCTGCAAGATGTAAGTTGCAGTCAAACCGCTCGAGCAAATACAGGTCTGACATCCCGAAAGTCGGTCTTCTTAGCCGCCGACAAATTCGATCAATCGACCAAAAAGGGCGAGCTTGATGGCGAGCAATCCGTAATCTTCCGCTCGCTTCAGGAGTTAACTCCAGAGGAGCGGCGGAGTAGCGAAGCGGTGGACATTGTCATTGCTAGGTCGGATACGACGGCCACAACATTGACGTTGGGCCTTTACAATATTCTTTCCAATCCTGAAATAAAATCGAGGTTAAGAGCAGAGATAGACTCGGTGGAGCTCGCACCTGGTGCTGTTCCCGATCTGGTGGTTTTGGAGCAGCTTGAGTACATGGTGCGTTTCCTGGGCGCCATGGAGGAGTGCACAATGGCGTGGAATCGAAGCAGCGCTAATCAGAGTGGATAGACTGCGTGTTGCAAGGAAGCCGTCCGTTGGACTACAGCGGTACAGGGCCGTCTACCGAGATACGTGCCAAGCTCGCCGCCGTTTGTTGTTGAGGGAMAGGTCATTCCCCCCGGTGTAAGACATGTCCTTGCTCGGTCCTCGTTTGAAGCATGCTGACTGGTATGCAACACGCAGACGATCGTTGGAGTGTCAGCGTATTGTGTACATACGAGCGAGAAGATATGGGGGACGAATGCGCGCGACTTTGTCCCCGAACGCTGGCTCGATGCCAACGCCGGCAGTCTGGAAAAGTATATGGTATCGTTTTCGAAAGGGACCAGGATGTGTTTGGGCATGAAGTACGTCTATTCTTCCCGCGGCCATTGTCACCGAGCTAACACTACTTTACCAGTCTGGCTTATGCTGAGATTCGCTTGGTGCTTTTCAATTTGTTCACCCGGTTTGATATGCAGCTGGATGGGAAGACGTCCCCAGAAGACGTTGAGCTTTTGGATTGCTTTGCTTCGTCTTTGAGAGGTTACGGCCCTAGGGTTCATTTCGCACCTAGGCAGAAGTCTGCCTTATGAAGATTTTTTTTGGATGCGGTTGCTGGACTGGGCTGGTTGAGTCCGTCCGAGAATTGATGGATATCTGTCGATTTAGCGGAATCTAGGTGCTGGCAATGCAGCCCAGATGGCTTACTAGCACATAGACGCTTCCATGAGAACCTTGTACTATATATAGGTCAGATATTGCGAAGACGGCATGTTTGACGATATCAGGCCAACCGGCCTACTCAGAATGGAAGTACGTTGGAGCTGTGATCGTAGGGGTGTGAGATGGGCAACGTCGGGCCGTGGGCAGGAGTACCGGGGTTGGGAGTAGCGGGAGTCATCAGCATTGTCTTGGCTTCGCGATGCCTTCTTGTGCATTTCCTCTCGACGTCCACACGTCCGGACATGTGATGCAAAGTTCTTGCGAGACTGCGAGGTCGATCTAGTTTTATCATTGATGCCCATCTGAACCACGTGACTTATCTTCCGTGCGAAACCGTCGAATCAATTTCTTTCCCGGCCAGTCGCTCAGGTGTGGAGGGAGTAGAGAATGGCGTCAGACTCTTGCCAGTGTAGGTCAAAAGGAGCAATTCATCCACAAGCATGTGATCACTTACAAGTTTCCATCACCCCTCACTCACGTTTAGTGCTGATTAATGCATGAATGATATCGTGGTGAATGATAATGATGTTTGTTGGAAGAAGAGGAAGAACGAAGAGAGGATGAGAGAGAGAATGCCGGTGGCCAGGGGCTTGGGATCGATCGGCCTCCGGCTCGCCTCGTGGCGGCTAAACTGACGTCGACGCGATTCTCCACTTTCACGTCTTCCAATCGCCAACCATCACTTGATCCATCCATCAATCAAGCAAGCAAGCAAGCAATTTCTCCCTCCTCTCTTTACGGACCGTACATTTATTTGCTCTTCATTCTTCATTCCAGTGACAGCTACCACCATGTCTTCCCAATCCCACAACACCCTGGCTCTCAAGGGCTTCGCCATCACATCGACCCTCGCAGTCGCAACGGCAATGGGCAGCACATCTCTGCTTTTCATCCCCTCGCTATTGAGACCCATCACCAAGCCCGCCCGACCTTCCCCATCGACAAATGTATCGCCGATGCCATCGCCAACACCGTCTCGACAAGGTTCCATCCTCAACATCCCCACCCTCACCTCCACCGACGGACGTCTCACCCCTCAACCATCCAACGACGGCCGTCTCACCCCTCAACCTGGTGCTGGCTCGGGTGGCTTCAACTTCAACTGGGGAACATCTGGTACATACCAAGCTGTTGCACAACAATTTTCCCGTCTCAACACCACCGCTGCAAGCATCCAAGTTCCCCTCGAACTTCTCACCATCGCAGCATACGGCGTAGTCGCGTACAACGGTCGGAAATCGGGTGATTCGGCATGGACATATTGGGCCACCAGCGCGGGCATCATCGCATCCGTATTCCCATTTACGGGATTCAGCATGGCTCCTTTGGCATTGAAACTGGCGAGATTGGCAGGGGATGCGGAAAAAGTGGAGCCATATGAAGATGCGCCTATTGATCGGGAAGCGGAGAAGAGCAATACTGTCGAGTTCCTTCGCAAGTGGAATGCGCTGAATATTGCGAGAACAGTGGGCGTTTTCGCTGCTGGTGTGGTTGGGATCACGGCTTTGGTATCAGAGTAAAGGGAGGAGACCATGACGACAGTACATTGGGAAGAGAACGGCGGATTCTCTGCTGGCAGAGATCGCCAAACCACAGATTGCTCCCTCCAGGATTTCTGGATAAGCGGTGGGCACCGAGGTTTCATTATCTGTATATTAAGTCTGACAAACCCCCATTCTCGCCATGGGTATTGTACAGTTTTGTAACAACATTTGCACGCTTTCAAATCGTCTTCTTCAGTCCTCAACGGGCCATGTACCCGTCGTGAACTCAAGGAGTGGAATGACATCCTGCACTAGGCATCGACAAACCCAAAAAGGGGCCCTGCAAGAGTTCCGACCGAAGCGTTTCGAGATATCTCAGCCGGCCAGTTTTGAACTTCAGATGGACAGTAAGGATTACCGTACCAGAAGACTTTGGAATTGATATGAACATCTACGGCTTGCTGGGAGAAGCTAGTCTCACCACCTACATGTGGCTATGATTTTCTGGTGGGAGTTCACTAAAAGGTTTCTCGACGGAATCGTAGCATCAATCGCAGTGGTACAGGGCATGCAACAATGGACGGAGCGGACGTGGAACATGCCAAGCTATACGATCACCTTCAATCTTGTTGGATCTATTGTCAGAGTCTAAAACAGTCCAAATGCAACAAGCTCGCTGATTGCCAGTAGGAAAAGCCGCGATGATTCCATCGCCATGTGTGTAGAGTCTCGTCTTTTCCGGAGCCGCGAAGGAAAACTTTCATGGTGGCCTTTGTTGAGCAAACTCATGGACCTGCAGCATCCTATTTAATCCCGTCGATGGAACTTCTCAACTGGAAAAGGTATTCACAGACTAACAGCCAACACTCTCATACCCCCGTGTCACCACTCCATGAGAGAGGATTTCCAGAAGCCCACAAGCATCAAGTCCGAGATTCTCAAGGCCACGAAGTTGAACATGAGCGAGGGTTCGGCAAAAATGTTGGTTGATTCTGTCAACTTTGAAGGCTCTCTCCACGACAACCCCGACGAGACACTCRCCCAGCGGCGGAACTTTCCATTCACAGCACGCACTCTCGCTGCTTCGCTAGATCAGAAATGCAGTTTTCAAGCGATCAAGGGGTACGTTCAAAACTACCACGCATCGACCGTGCATGATGGACTCTTGGAGAAAATCAACAACCGACTCATCATAACTCATGTAATCCAACGCAACGACGCCAAGATGCTGCGGATCTTCCTCGAATATGATGAGTCGGCATGTTCTTCCGTCGATTTCGGCGTGGTTCCCGTTCTCGCTTTCGCCATAATGCGTTCGAAATGGTCCAACGACAACACCACAGACATCGTCAAGACTCTTCTCGCTTTCGGCGCAGATCCCAATGTCATTCCGCAAGAATYGTGGGAGGATTACATCAATACCCCAGTACCAGGAACCCTCACGATCGAATCCGACACTCCACGTCTGACAGCATGGTGTACAGTCAAGAAGACCAAGATTCTCGAACAGACCCTCAACCTTACCATGCGATACACTCTATGGAAAGCCGCCCGCATGGAACCCCCCCAACAAACGAAAACTACGAAATCGCAAAAGCAAACAGTATCCAACCCCTTCTTCGAATCCCCCATGTAATAATCGGCCAAGAAATCGCCACGAAACTCATCGTGGAGTGTATTTTTCACCACATCGCCATGCAGAAACAGAAACCTCTCGTTCTGGCTTTCGCTGGTCTTTCAGGTCATGGCAAAACGGAACTCGCGAGTCAACTGGGAGATTTACTTTGTTCGGATCTCATTGAGATTGATTGTGCACAGACGAGTACCGTTTTTACATTATTGGGTCCTTCGTGCTGCCTCCTTCTTAGGCGCTCCTCCGAAGTTCCGAAGTTCCGTAGACTAGTGTGAATTCAGTATTTATATACTGTGACTTCCCAACCTCCAAGGTATATATAGGTAGGTACGGTCTCTTAGTCTTCTACGGAGCGCCTAAGGAAAATGGGCGATAAACGGTTAAATCTCCCTTATAGCGGTCTATCCTTAGACTACGTCTAAATGTACTACTTACTACTAAAACGTAATGTAGACAAACTAAGGAAATCGTACCTAGAACTCTACAACCTCTACTAGAAATGTGCATTTAAACAATATAAATTAGACTATACGAGGAACGTATACACGTATTATAAAAAGTTAGATTTCCGCTATCCTTTAGTTTAGAGTAGCCTATAAAGCACCCCTTAGATACGACGACATTATACGAATTGTAACAACCTAAATACGCGCGCTTCCTATTTATAACCTCTCTATCCTTATCTAACTTATCGCTTAATCGTACGCTATAGGAAAGTAGTCTATCTTAACTATAAACGTAGGCCGTGTTCTAGCTACTAAGCTAAAATTTCCGGCTTGTAATAGCGACGTATACCTCCGTAAACGCCTCCGTAAACACCTCCGTAAATACTACCGCGCGGAACATCGGCTAATTAAGGTTATAGATATAGTTATAGTCGTCCGAGCCCTAGTTCTAGTATCTCTCTCTCCCTATCTTATACGATAGGACTATTGTTCTTAATAGCACGTAAATTGCGTGCTAGTAAGAATTTACTACCTACTCTTTAAGAATATTCGATACTTAGGTTACGTTTACGGCCYGTATAGCGTACGTCTCGTCTTCTCGAGCTTTAGCTTTTCCTCTACTACTAATGCTATCTACTACTAATACTAATACTAACACTATCTACTACTAACACTATCTACTAATATTAGTATATCTATTCGATCCCTAACTACTACCCTTCGATCCTCTTCCGCTACCTACCCGATCCCCTCCTAATATTACTAAAGATGCTACCGAAGAATAGCGGTAAGGGAAAAGGCCGCGTATAGAGCGCGCCTAGAGTCTCGGATAAGGCTTAGCGTATAGCCGTAAAATCGGCGCCTATACTACGAGTGCTAAAGGTACTAACTGCTCCTCTCCCGCGCGTAGCTATTAGCCGTATAAGTCCTACCTAGAGCATTAATAAGAAGCTACCTCTAGAAGATACCTCCCTAGAAGGGTAGAGGGAACATTTCGAGGATCGATGCGATACTATTATAGATAATATACTCGAGGAGCTCTAGATATTAGTCTACGACGCTAGAAAGAATAATTATACCCTAGATACCTAGTACCGTATTATTTAAAAGGAGGGAGAGCTTATAATAGACCTATTTTATCCTAGTAAAGGATATAAGATCTCCGAGTACTAGGCTAATATATTATTTATACTTATCTTCGTATAGAAGGATGTTATCGCTACTATAGGCACTAGTGCTAGTAAGACTATGTTATATTAAGGGTTTGCTTTTATAACTAGTATATCCTCGCTACGAGCCCGAGTTAGATATAGACGTAACTAACGGTCGCGTAGGTATAATAATTATCTAGGTAATTCCCCTTAACTACATTAGGGAAGAGCAGAAGGCAGATATCGAGCGTATAATACGTAATAACGAATCGTAACTCGTAAAGGTCGCTTTAGTTACTACTAATACCCTTCGCGCGAGTCTAGATCTATTTAATCGTATCCGTAAGGGTAAATTCGGATACCTAATTACCGGTCTAGAGATGCTATTAGGTAAGGAGATGCGCTAACTTTTAATTAAGCGTGCTAACAGCATTAGCATAGTCGCTATCGACGAGGTGTATCTTATATATAAGTAGGGATTAGAATTCCGGAAAGAGTAGGCCTATTTATCTATCTATCTATCTATCTATCTATCTATCTATCTATCTATCTATTTATCTATCTATCTATCTATCTATTTATCTATCTATCTATCTATCTATTTATCGCTAACGCCTCTTAGGTTCTCCTAGATCTATATACTCCGCCGCGGAATCCTTCGTAATAACACCGTCTTTCTTAGAGCGACTATAATAATATCCTAAGAGACGTAGGAATTTATCTTGCCGTATAGAGGATTCCGTAATATTAGAGAAGAAGCGTTTATAACTAAAATTATTCGAGTAAGCGTCGATCGTCCGGATATTATATACCTCCTTAAGCTAGTTAATAACTTTAGTACCTTCGATAAGCTGTTCTTCTTAATATAGAATGCCCGCGACCTAGAAACCCTTATAGCTATACTAGAGAACATTTAAAAGGGGATAGTCTTTAACGATAGCCGCGGGGATGTCGACGATATAGTAGAGTAGCTCCGACGTAGCCTTATATAGCTAACTAAAGATTACGCGGATAAAAAGAAGCGGTATTATCGGGGTAGACAAGGTAATAAGAGGTTTAATATGCTAAAGGTAGTCTCTTTTTATACTAGCTATATCGCCGTCTACGACTAGAACCTAAGGTATAATAAGTATAAGAAGCTAGAGTCCGTCCTACGAATTATAATTACTACGCTATCGCTTTCTTACGGCTATAATATTAGTAATATAATGTAGGTCGTCTAATAGAAGATGCCTATTATAAAGGACATTAACGACGTTAATTAGAAGGTAGGCCGCTATATTCGCCTTTACGGTCTAAAGGGGCTGTTTATCTAGTTCTATCTATCGTATCTAGATAACGCGTAGAAGTAGGTTCTAGAGGGCTCCTCTTATCGATCTATCGTTCTACGAAATCCGGATAGAACATCCTTAGTATACGACGAGGCGGAGGACGTAATGCTAGTCTAGTATAGAGTAAATCGGCTAAACGGTCTTCGTAATATAGACGTACCCGGTAATAGCCTAAATAATAATCTAGATCGTAACTAGGAGACCTAGTCTACTACCGGCTAGGTTATCGAGACCGCTACTAGTTATAACCCGTAGGAAAAAAAGAACTAGACTAAGGCTAAGATAGAGAAGCGTAACAAATACCCTAACATTATTCGGTTATACTTAAACGGCTAATACCTACTAGTCCTAAAGTGTTTTTAAGCTATCTTATTAGAGTACTACTAGGACTTTTTAAATATATACCTACGCGAAGGTAATAAAGTTCGTATCGAGCTAGGCTAGTATTATAGCATATATAGTCCGGATCTCCTTAATCTACTCGAGTAGAATGTCTTACCTCTACTCCTATCTAAGAAGCCGTCTATACTAGCGAAGGGTATAAAGTAATCGTTCCTATTACCGCATCTATAGAGATTCTTTATAAAGTAGGCTAAGCTGTTATTCGACGCTAAAGTTAGAGATAGGTTTAACTTTAACATACTACTTAGTAATATCCTATATAATATTATTACTAACGACGTCCGCCTTTAGGAGCTCTCTAGCTATATCCGTTACGAATCTCTCGAGGTAGAGGATAATAGAGAGCTTACGAGAAAGGATATACTAGAGGTCGCTAGTCCGGATTTCGTCGAGTAGATAAAAAGCGGTAGTTCGCGGGAGGTAGCCGAGCGTAAGAAGAACGTATCGCTACGTTACCTTACTAAAGAGATTACCCGTATTGCTCTAGATATGTACTCTAGATATAGCGAATATCGTACTAAGCTAAAGCGGAAGAGAGATAAGCGTACTACTAAGAAGAATGCACTAGCACTAACTACTCGGCTAAACTAAGCGCTTTAGCTAGTTACTACCCGTAAGGAGGCTTAGGGTATTCGCCTTCGTAAATCCGCTACTATAGTATCGCTACTAAAGCAGGCTACCTCTAACCTAGCGACTTAGTCTTAGTCTTAGTCTTAAGCCGGCGAAGGAGAAGATAACGACCCTAAGGCTAGATAAGGTAGACTAGGAAGTAGGCCTATAGCTACTAGTAAGCGTTAAAATAAGAAGCGTATAGCATCTTATTAACTAGAAGTAGAGCGTTAAGCTACCTACCGTTCTAGTATACTAACTATTATACGCGGAGGTATTACTAGTAGTAGTAGTCGTAGCGGAGTTAGAGCTAAAGGAGCTATAGCTAGAAGTAGCCGTAAGGGAGGAGGAAGAGGTAGCTAGACTCTAGATCGTAGTCGTCGTACTATAGAGGCTAAGGTATAGCTAGCTCTTAATATAGCTAACTAGCGTCGTAGTAGTCGTAGACTTACGCCTACTTAGAAGGTTCTCGAGGAGCAAGCAAATACGTAGGAGTTCGGCTCTAGGTTCGAAGTAGAGTAGAGTCCTATCCGCCGTTATAGTAACCGTAATAGCGATATTAAGATAGAAGATAATAATAATAAGTAGGTAGATTCCTAAGTATATATCGTCTAGCTACGACTATGTTACCTAGCGGTATAACCGTTACGTAGATAGTATATACGGTCTAGTAATGTTATCCTTAACGTTATCTCTATATCTAACGATATCTTCTTCGTCGAAATCGAATGTTTTATTCTAATTATTTAACCTATTCTATCGCATCGTATCGCATCTAATTCTATCGTACCGTATCGCATCTAATTCTATTAGATTCTATCTCGTCGTATCGTATCGTACTACATATTCTCGTATTACTTCGCGTAAGGCCGTCGTCCGGTATATTAGGTTATAAAGTAGCAAACCGTAAAGATAGTCGCGTAAAAGATAGTCGCGTAAAAGATAAGATAAAAGGGAAGGCACTACTTACGCCCTTAGCATAAGATCTCGTCTCCGCGTCGCGCCGCGTCTATTCTATTATTATTATTATTATTATTACTATTATTAACTATCTATTAGATTTT